GAATAGGTTTTACAAAAGTGCAATACAAAATCTTATTGTGTTTTTGTCTTTGTAAGTAAATGATTTGCTTAGTAGACCTAATCGACTATTTGCTTTATTTACAACCATATTTACATGTTGATTCCACTTCATAGTATTTGAAATTAACAATCCAATGTTTTTTCATTAGTTGTTGAATCTAATTTTGAATCTTTTATAAAATATTCAAAATTCTTATTATGCATTCCAAAATGCATGATTTTACATTTTTTGATGTTGAAATTTATCATCCATTTGTCGGACCATTCAGTTAGATTATTAATATCGTCTTGCAAGCTTTTTGAGTCTACCTGGTTGTTAACTACAGCTATAATTTTGTTATCATCTGCATAAAGTTCGCATTTATTTTTAATTTTAGATGGTAAATCATTAATATATAACAAGAACAATAATGGTCCAAGCACAGAACCCTGTGGAACACCACTTAGCACCTCTAACCAATCTGATTTTGTATCACTAATTATAACGTGTTGTTTTCTATTTGATAAATATGTTTCTATCCAATTTTGCATTTCTTTTTCTATTCCATAACCACATAATTTTGATATTAATCTCTTATGAGGCACTCTATCAAATGCTTTTTGAAAATCAGTATATAAAATGTCTATTGAATTGCCTATCATTAGTTGGTATGTTAAAAAATCTAAGGATTCTAATAAGTTTGTTATACAATTTTTACCCTTTAAGAAACCATGTTGTTGTTTACAGAAAAGATTATTTGATTCTAAATAGTTTTTTAAGTTATCACTTATAATTTTTTCTAGTACTCTGCAAGGTATGGATGTCAAAGATACTGGTCGATAATTTATTGCTTGCAATTTACTTCCATTTTTAAATATGGGACTCACATTTGCCATTTTCCAGAGATTAGGAATATCACTATTTGTTAGACTTTGTTGATAGATAATTGAAAGTGGTATTGAAAAACTTTCAGAGCAGACTTTTAACACGTAAGGATTTACTTCGTCATACCCACTAGACTTGTTAATGTCTAACTTTGACAAATATAATTTCACAAGTGCTTGATCAACGAATATTTTTCCAAACCTACTATTTGTTTGTACTTCAAAATTACAATCATTTATATTTTCTTCTTTTTTGAATGAAGAATGAAAATACTTGTTAAAAACATCGACAATACTATATTTGTCATACATTGTTGAACCAATATTATCATTAAGTGCTCTTATATGATTTTTTACTTTCTGCTTTTTTCTAATATATAAATATAGTAATTTAGGCTCATTTTTTACATGATTTACCAAGTTTCTTTTGTAATTTTTAACAGAGTTATTTATTTGTTTTAAAATGTTTCTTTTCATTTTATTATATTTTTCTTTTGAGCCAGCTATAGACCAGTTCATTTTTTTATTTGTTGTCCAGTAATTATTTTTGTACTTGATTTCTTTTCTCAAGCTATTTGACATCCAAACTTCACTTGCTTTATTTTTTAGTTTTACAATAGGTATACAATTTTTGCATGATTGATTATAATTATATAAAAATTTATCATAACATTTGTCAATGCATTTGTTTTGAAATTCATCAGCCCAATTTATGCTTTTTATATAAACATTAATTTTTTCATAGTTTCCTCTACGATATGCAAATTTTTTAGTTAATGAAGAGAAGTCATCTATTCAATCATTCATTTTATAAAACCATTTTAGAATATGATGTCCTTTACTACTCAAACCAAGTGGTGGCAATCATCTACAATTACTAAATCAAGTATATTTGTTAATTTGTTTTCGTTGCTTTGAAATGTTGCTTCAGTAACACATTGTTCGAAAAAACAGTCATTTAAACATGCTACAAAATCTTCAGCTTGTTGGCTATGTGATTCTTCAACACTGTCTTTCCACTTTAAAGTGTTATAGTTAAAGTCACCTGTTATTAATATACTAGTGAATTGTTTTTTATCTTGTGCTCTTTTAGCTGCTATAATAGAATTTATAATATTTTTATTGGTAACACAGGATGAGTCAGGGGTACGATATATGCAACCAAATAAAACTTTTTCTTGACCATACTCAATCCATGTCAATATTTGCTTGATAAGATCGGATTTAAGTTCAATATTACTGATTTCATATGATTTTATGGAACTATTAACGTATATGCAAACACCACCCCCTTTTTTCAGCCATTCAGCCGATCGTTTCTATATATTACATAACCCTCAATATCGACATCTGATAAAGGTGTATACCATGTTTCAGTAACAGTAAAAACATCTTCTCAATATCAATTAAAGCTCTAAAATCATTTTTTTTTTAATTGTTTAAAGATGTTGAACTTGTATAGTACACTATTAGTCTTTTGTTACTATTTAATAAATGTCTATCATTAGGATTCTTTGTTATATTATTTAAATTTTCATATAACACCTTTTTTGGAGATATCTGTTGATATGGTTGTGTTGATTCATATAGCTACTTTTTTAACAGTTTTACAACACGTTCATTTCTAATTCACTAATAGTATTTTAGGTCTTGGTTAGCTTCATTTAATTTAGCATGTTCTTCTCTAAGAGCTTTCATCTTAAATATTTCTGCTTCTGTCATGTCTGCATTAATAAAGATATTATTAGTTTCAGATGAATTTCGTAAGTTTTTAGCAGTTTTTAATACAGCATTTCTTTCTTCTTTGTTAGTTAAAACAACAATAACTGGAGGTGGTTTGTCGGTTCTCGTATTTAATTTAAAAACTCGCTGAATGGTAACTTTAACATTAATTTGTTTAAATAAATTTTGTAACTCTTGTTTGTCATCTCCTTTTGCCACGCTTTTGTCCTTATTTGTAGAGGTTTTAAATCCAAAAACTACTAAATTTTCTTGCCTTATTTCTCTGTCATGAGATTCTTTAACCACTACATTTAATAAATCCAGTTGCACAGATGTATTTTTTTTTTCTCCCTTTTACTACATCGGACCATGTATTTGATACATTGTTTGAGTTTGATACAAGTTTTGATCAATTCTTCATATCATTTACTACTATTTTGAGGTCATTTATTTCTATATCTTTTATTTGGAGTTCTGCCTCCAATTTTAGTACTCTACTAACTAAAGCTTCGAAGTCTTCTTTTCTTACCATTGTCAAATTTGACAAGATAAGTTTATCTCTTATTATTTAGTTATTATTACAAAATGTTTATGTTTTGTTTTCTTATTTTTTCACAAAGTCACGTCTGCCATCTTTAACGACGCGCGTTATTGATTTCATCATTTGTAATTTAGAGAATATTTGTAGCTGTCATTAATGGTTTGAAAACATTGAAAAAAATCCATAGACATTTATAAACACACTTTCTCATTCTTGCTCATAACTTTCATTTGAACAAGAAATTTAACACTTCCTCCAACACCATATACAGCCCTTTTCTATGTGAAGTTGCAAAAGACTTCCACTCAAATATTTTATTTTATTGCAAAGATAATTGGTTGAATAGTTTCATTATAAACTTATTTTTAAATTCTGATTATGGGTCATTGGTGAAAAGAGTTTCAGTATCATTATTACAGTTATATATATCTCATATAATTACCCAATAAAGCAGTAAACACTATTTTTGCCCTTTTCTCTAGTGTCTGAACAGATAAGATATTTTTTGCAATTATTGTTGCTGAAAATAGTACCATTAAGTAATTGAACAGTGTTCCTTCTCCACAGTGCACCTTATACTTCATTTGGATATTCGCAAATATTGCCATTGCAAAATCCACCCGAAGAACTCTTTCTGCTGCAATCCTCTTGTCTTTTTCAAATTCAGCTGCTTGACTCTTTTTATATGAACATGTTCCTGAAATTTAGATAAAGCAAATAGTAATTCCTCTATTATTTCTCCTATGCACCCATTTTTATCACTCATCATAAACCCAGTTTTGAATTGTAATTGAAGACATCCAATATGAACTATTATAGCTGATGCCTATTGCTTTAAGTAATAAGCGAAAGTTCTCATGCAGTTTTCATTTACACTGGTCTGTGGATGTTTCTTCTAAATAAAAAAGTATGTTTTTTGGCATAAGCTTACAAATTGTAGTGAAAGGCATTAACTCTCCATAGGGTAATTGAAAAATAGAGTAAGCCTCTCTCAAAAACATTGTCAAAAAATATTTTCTCTGCTTTTTTCTCTTTCCATTCTTTTTTTTTTTCTTTATTTGAACCCTTTTCTGTACTGTTCAAATTTTTTCAACTTTCATTTTGTACATATTCTTAACCCTTTTAATTTTACTGAACAGTATTGTTTGTTAGCTTTTCCTTTTCCTCTAAAATTTATCAATCTCTCAGCTCAATACATTTTTATTTTTATTATATATTAACCAAAACTTAAAACAGAAAATTATTAAAATTTACAAAGACCTTCAAATCAATAATTTATAGAATTATTTAATTCATCTTTTAATTCAAACTGAAATAACTTTCAAATACTATGGTTGTTTTCTTGTTGAACTTATTAAAGAAATTGAGAACAATTTTTAAAAAAGTAATTTGTATCAATATTATATTCATGTTAAAAGCATTTATATTCAAAAAAAATTTTAATATATAGTGTTTATGGTTTAACTTTAACCTTTATCAATATTTTTTTCTGATTTTTCAAATCTAATGTTAAAAGCATTTATATTCAAAAAAAAATTTTATATATAGTGTTTATGGTTTAGCTTTAACCTTTATCAATATTTTTTTCTGATTTTTCAAATCTAATGATCTTATCTGTGTAATGTCACATAAATATCATTCATTTTAAAACTGCGTTACATGTATGACTGAACTTCTTATAATTTTTTGTTAGTTATTTTACATAATCATAAAAAAAAAATTTTATTTTTTTTCTACAATACCTTTTGCTTATAACTGAAAATATGTGTGTGTGTGTGTGTGTGTGTGTGTGTGTGTGTGTGTGTGTGTGTGTGTGTGTGTGTATTTATGTGTATACAAATTAAATTTGTTACCTGTTTCACTTTCCATGGAATTTCATGTCCAAAGATTATTAGCAATTTTTCTCTAAAAACTTCAGAAATCTGAAAGTCAATACTAGAATCACAATATATTTGGTCAGAATATTCCCACGCACCCGATTTTGAACTTGCTACTAAGTAATCAAGTAAGTCATCTACACCATCACCTGAAAATGCAGATATCATAAAACATTTTTGAAAGCGTTCAGAACCTCCATATGAATGATAGCCCCAGACATCTTTTGTTCGTTTTTGCATTAACATTGAAGCAACTGGTATTAAGTCTTCTTTTCGTTTTAGTAAATCTATTTTATTTAATATTAGAATAGCAGGGACCTCAAGATTACTGTTCATAATTTCAATTATATTTTCATCAATAAAGTTTCTTGTATTTTTAGATGCTACGTCTGTAATAATGGCTAGCATATCAGCAGATCCAGCTACACGTCGAGGTCCGCGTAGATGAGCACGATCCATATTAAGACGATGCCCTTCTTCAAATGAGACTATGCCAGGAGTGTCAGTAAATATAATCTGACAATTACCTATATTTTTGATGCCATTAGCTACTGTACGAGTGGTATGTTTAATTTCAGAAACTGCTGATACCCTTGAACCAACAGCAGCATTTATTAAAGTCGATTTACCAGCATTAGGAGCACCTAATATAGCAACTTTTAACACCTTTTGATCAAAAACTGAAGTGCATAAAAACCGTTCTAAAAATCTTAATTGACGCATTCGTAAATAGTATAAGGGTTTGCAATTATTCAAAATTAGGCTTTCTCTCAATAGAAAACAAATTTAATAGTCACAAAAAAGCAGTTTATGTTACACATTTCCAGAAATTAAATGGCCGACATAAAAAAAAAAAATATACCGCAGCATAAAAAGCGGCAAAAATCCCTCTAAAAAAGGAATAAAAAAAGAAGCTAAAGGTTTGTTTCCATATAGTCTCACGACAGTTGTACGACAGCGATGTCCTACAAAAAAATGTTTCCATTAAACTACTAATTTTTTTTTTTTTACATTCTATTTTGGATAAATATTGGTTGCGTTTACAACAATACGCACAAAAATAGAATCAACCAATCATATTTTTGGGTCGTGCGATAACTGTCGTAGAGAATTTTTATCTTTAATTTTAATTACTGTTTTTACGACATAACCATTAAACAATGTACGACAAATTTTGTCTCGTAAGACAAAATTAGTCGCATCATTAATGTTTCCTTATAGTCGTGCGATCGCCTTGTGACAGTGCGACTGTCGCAAATTTAGATATTCATGAAATATTTATAATTGTTTAAATAATTTACTTACATAACAAGATATGTTAAAAGGTTCTAATATAAACTAATTTTATTTCTAGATATGTTAAAAGGTAGAGATATGTTAAAGGGTACAAGATATGTTAAAAGGTTCTAATATAAACTAAATATAATTGTTTAAATATTAACTTACATAACAAGATATATTAAAAGGTTCTAATATAAACAAAAATTACTAAATTAATAATATATATAATATTTTTTGTGTTTATTTAGAATTAGTGTGCGGCCGTGGCGCAGTGGTTAGAGCGTTTGCTTTAGAAGCAGGAGATCCATGTTCGAAACGGCTCTGGACATATTTTCGCGTCACAGTAAGGAAGAAAGCGCGAACTTCCTGGTTATAAATGCACATCCGCGGTGCTCTGTGACAAGACCGATAGGTCTTTTTCACTTTTTGCTTGAGGGGTGATTTTAAGGTTGCTATCACATATCCAAAATTCGAAATTCTTTGCTATTATAGGGGATGAATCTAGTGACATTTCAAACAAAGAGCAGTTATCAATTTGGAAAAATATTCTTTTCTTAAAATTTTTTTTTTTAAAGTAACATGATTTCAATAATTATTCAATCAAATATGTAAAGATTTAGTAAAAAATTATTCGAACTTTCAGAATTAAAAAATAAATCAGAAGTGATCAAGAATAAATGTGAAGTGATCAATTAATAACATGGATGAGCCTGGCAGAAGAAAGTCAGGTAGCAAAAAAAAAAAGAGGCAAGTTTAAAACGAACAACAAGCCTAAATGTTATTGCGTCCTTGCCAACAACATAAAAATGTTGTTGTAACAACATTTTTTTCAAAAAAAAAAAAAAAACGGTCTGGTGCATTATCACAAGAGGCGGTGCATTATCGCACATGTAGCAGCTTTCCTCCAGATTTGTTGATTAGTGATGAAAAGCCTGAGAGCTTGGACTCCATTAGTATGCGTAGTGAAATATTAGCTTGGAACGTGAAAGAACTTTCTACTGACTCTGGTGACTAGATACGTCAAAATTATAGACTACTTGAGTTAATCACAACAAACCAGCAAGATAGAGGCGTCAACGTCACTGATTTTTCAAAGCCCGTAACCTGTGACAATGCTGGAACTTTGCAATGCGCCTAAAAAGAATTATTTTTTCAAAAAGTTGTAAATGGAGAAAAGAAAAAACGCGATTATCTGCTATATTCTACCAAAAACGGTAGTGTTTACTGCAAACCTTGCTTCTTTTTTGGAAAAACTAAGAGTTTTTTAGCGAGCGAAAATGGATTTTGCAATTGAAAAGTTGCTCATAAGGCAATCAGTGAGCATGAACACTCTGATAAACATAACAATTCAATGTCTACCTTTAATAATTGAAGTGAATAAAGTTTCAGGATTGATTTCTTTAAACAGTTTTTGTTAAATAGTTGCGATTTCTTTTAACAATTTTAGTAGGAAAGAAACATAAGAGAAATGTATTGCGTTGGGTGGTACTTGTCACCAAGTTTCTTTCTTCTAAGTTATGTTTAATTATATATATATATATATATATATATATATATATATATATATATATATATATATATATATATATATATATATATATATATATATATATATATATATATATATATATATATATATATATATATATATATAATTATATAATAATTATTAATAATATATATGTATATGTAATTATATGTATATTTCAAGATTAATTTTTTTTAATTTTTTAACCTATTGGTTTATATACATATTCATGTAGACCTATTAAGGTTCAAAAATCTAACCTAAGGTTTATTTATACGCATGACGCATCAGAGTGATAGTATTTTGTGGATCAGATCAGAAAGTTGAATCATGTTATAATAGAAATTTTCTTTGCTCATTCGAGTTGCTAGCTTAATACAACCAAACACTTCATATATATCTGTTAACATTTGCGAAGAGTTCATCCAGCTACATGGCGATTTTCTTTTACAAATAGTTGGTAGTTATAAATTGCTTTTATATTTTTATTTGATATACTTTAAAATTGCATTAAAAAGAGCACTCGACAAGTTTGAATTACATTTTTTATATTGCCAAATTTCTTTTCTACAGTTGTTGAACTTAAAGCTGATAAATAATTTTCATTTATTGTAGATTTAACTTCAGACGTTTTGCACGTAGATTAACTCATTTTTGTTGTAATGTCTCACAGGAAAGCGAGTAAACGTTTTTTATCATTCACAATAGTAGAAGCTAGTCGACTTGTCTTGAAAATGGACAGAGCTGAAGACAGCCGTTATGATAGTTATCAGGAACACTATTATTGAAAGGTTCAACAAAGCGAACAAGTGCTTAAGACATTAAAATTGAATTAACAGTGTTAAATTAACTATTTAGCTCTCTTTTTGCTCAAGAGATTAAAAAAAGTTTTGACAAATTTGAAAACGAAAAAGATTGCAAGCCAACACGACGGATTGACGTCTATTGAGGCATAGAACATTACTTGAAGAGAAAAATTAATGACTAAGGTTAATATCATCATGGATCTACTTTTAGCTGAGCTTAAGAAGGGAAAATAATACTTCTGCTCTACTCATCTCTTGTTTTAGATTTCTCGTCTGCCTTCCAAACAGGGATGCCGAGTCCCAAAAAATGAGTGTTCCTCTTACCTAAAAGTGTTAACTTTTTTTCCTATTATAAGTCCACAAACTTTTTTATATTTTTAGAGCTTCTGGATATCAAAAACAAGGAAAAAGCAATCTTTTTGTGACTTTTAAATCCGGAGTCCTTTTTGGAACTCTGCATCCCTGCTTTCAAATATGGATGCTGTTGCAACTACAACGCAAGCACAAGAACTTTTAAAAATTTACCCAAACAATGCAGATATATATTTTCCGAATGAATGTCTGCATTTCAAGAGCTTCATTTTCAATTCAATTGAAATTGATACGGTAAAACTAAAAAACTAAATCATTAAGACTTGTTGATTTAAAAAGCCCCCGAAAAATATCAAAATTGCTTATCGACTTATGAGCGTAAAAATATGACCTAGATGAAAATTATCTATACTTTACAAATATCTATACTTTTTTTACCTTGCTTAAGTGTTTAGTTATATGTAGAAAACATTGATCTGATTGTCCAATTCTTATTCTTTGGATTATCTTACAACAATTATACCATTTATTTATTGGTTTTTGATGTTATGAGTAGCATTTATTATGCAAAACATATAAAAAAAAAACGGAATCACGTACAGATTTTTTTTTTGTGTGAGTGGGAGGAAGGAAAGATAGGCTGGAGAGGCCACAACCGTTATTTCGCTCGGGGACCAGGATGATCTAAAGACCGACCTGATTCTTTGACTCCTGTCTGTAAGTAAAAATAATATATGTATAATAATGAACATGTATAATATTGTGTAAACATAGCGTATTAAATTTTAAAGTAAAATAATAGATGTTATATTTTGATTTTATCTAATGGATGTTCTAACTACTACTATAGGAGTAAAAGTTTATTTGACGGAAATAATTGTACTCACATTTGGCTAACACTTAGTGCGGTAAGTTTCGGTTGGTAATTCATTTATTTATTATTAAAATAAATAACTTTTCATTTAATCAAATAAAACACTAAAATATTCGTAGAAAAAAAAAATTTAAAAGCTAGATGTTTTATTGATAACATTTAGTTATTTAAAGCATTAAATAATCTAAACGTTATCAAGAAAACTTCATCTTTATTTTTATTTTTTTCAATCTTTACGTTCTTTTGTATTACGTTCTATCGTATTTTGGTCGTTCTATTGTATTTATTTAAGTAAATAGAAAATGAAGAATGGGAAATTTTATGCAAACTTATTTTTTTTTTTTTATAAGTACTATTTTATAAGGTATACTTATAAAAAAATTGATCCCACAAAATTAAATTTTGTTAAAAAATAAGCATACGATTTCTCATACAATTACACAGCCTTACTCATGACACGCGTTTTCTATTATATTGCGATTGTCCATAGTGCATATTCGATATAAATACCTTTTATACAACATGTTTTTCAGCGCAATAACCCCATTTCACGGAGTCATTTTGGAGTGGTTTTTTAAAAACTATTTTAATAAAATTTTTATGGTTTTTATGAAATCATTGCGAAAAATCGTTTTCATTATTTTCCAATACACATTCTTTTATAAAAAGAGCTGATGCAATATTGTCCTAAACATTTTTATAGATATAATTTTTCCAAGGCCGGAGCGAATGGGGGATGTGACTCCCCCCCTCCCATCAATGATTTTTTTGTTCATTTAGTCTGCAAATTTGACCTTTTTTGACTAGTCAGTCAGCAAATCTCGGTCCTTTCAACAAGTTAGTCGGTAAACTAAGAGAGTCAGTCGGCAAATGTCAATAAGGTAGTCGGCAAATTTTAGAAAACGAGGAATTTTTTTGGTCCCCCACGGAACACCTACTCGCGCCGGCCCTGACTTTTCAATGTTGCTGGTTAATCGTGATTGAGTCATTGCAGACTGAAAAATGATCTTTTCGCGTTAGCTATTAAACAGTTTTTTTAAGCCTGTTAGAAATTGGAAGGGTAAGACTAAATTTAGTGTCCACCCCCCATTCCCCCAACCTTTTAGTTGGGGTTGGGGAATATTGACCTCTCCGCCCCCTCCCCTTTTTCCTATGCCACTGGCCGTATGTTTATTCCACTTAATATTTTTTTGTCGAAATACTTGTCATTATTTGTCGGACAAATTTGAAATTAAGCGCATGTCGGATTTCTATGCACTACTTTTTTTTAAGAAAAAACAAACATTTTTTCTAAATCTAATGCTGCTCCAATTAAAAGGTCGTACTAATAAAATAAATAAGTGAAATCAACTAAAATTAATATTTTTAACAGAGGAATAGTAAGAATATTAACTTCACCTTATTATTTTTGATGCAGTAATGTTAGCATTCTTTTATTAACAACAACAACAACAACAACAACAGCAACAGCAACAGCAACAGCAACAGCAACAGCAACAGCAACAGCAACAACAACAACAACAACAACAACAACAACAACAACAACAACAACAGCAACAACAACAAAAAGCAATATATTTACCAGAAATAGAGATATTTTACATAAGCATGTTTTAAATTACAAATAATATACGCAAAGTCTATATTCTGGATCGTTTACTCTCATAAAGCCTGGCTAAATCAAAGAGCAAAAAAAACCTTGAACAAAAATAATTAACTAATACAGTGTATTAGTTGCTATTTTTGCTCAAGGTTTGCTTCAAAATAATTTAATTATTTTGAAGTTGATTCCAGTGCATTAATATCTTTCTAAAGCATCTTTTTTTATAAAGTCTCTATAATTGTTGTATTGTTAATTAAATAACTGTCATATTATTTATCTAACATTGCAATTAAAGGAGTTCTGTTGTTATTTATTTTGTATATAAGCTATTACACTGTTTAGCTATTCTGTTGCATCATAAGAGACTTTATAAAAGTTTACTGTGGAGCCTGTTTCTGAAAAAACCACAAGTTACCCATGAAAGCTCATCACCATTGGATTCCAAAAATGTAAAAAATCAAATCATCCTTACATCCTCAAGAAAAAAATCATTTTCAAAATTGTTTTTACTGCACTTATTAACCAAATGAGAGAATTCTTAAAACTTTACATTTTTATAGCACGAAAGATTCAAAGTTATACAAAGTTGATGCTCTATAATATTCCAATAACATGTAAAAGAAATAAATATTCTAATAGAAATTCTTCATTTCCTAGACAGCTTTAAGATTTATGTTTGATTTCCTTTTTCCAAAAATCAATATTTTATATTTTGCTTATTTATAACTGCATTAGCATAAATTTATATTAGTAGTATATTTTTTCAACAAACCTTTCCTCTTATTAGTAAGGAGTTAGCCCATAAATGTTCTACAGCTCAATTTTATGAAAATTTGAAAGTTTTGTCAATTTCCAGGGATTATCTTTTTCCAGATATTTCTGGAATTCTGAATATTTTTCTTAACTTTTAGTTTTTCCAGATATATCCAAAACATTTTCTATATATACAAGTTTAAGTGTATATTTTTATAAAATATTTGTTTTTTAAGCTTTTTCACTCATCACTTATACAAAAATTAAATAAAAATTGAAAAAAACATTTGAAACAAAATTACCTTAACAAAGTTAAGAGGAAAATAAGGGAAAATATATTCCGTAATTATTCCAGGTATTTTACCCAAACAATTTTCTGGATTTTTAAAATATGATCTGGATTATCTATGCCTTTCTGATGGAAAAGTAGCTAAGCATAAGTAATTATAGGCAAAGATGATTCTTCCCACGGCCAGTGAGAAGATAGCTTTTCAAGGATGTCACTGTTGTTACAGCCAATGATCTTGCCATAGTTCAAGAAAATACTGGATTATCTAACAGTGGAATAAGCTAACAACTACAATAAATCATATAACATTGACAAGAGATTTGAGCCAAAAATCATGAACAAATTTCAAGAACTTAAATGACCACTTAAGCTAAACAGTAATTATGGTGTTCTGACTTAAAAAAATCAACATGCATTGTTGAACATTGTTAGAATCTGAATGATCTGACTGGAGAAATCCTTTTGACACAAAAAGAGTTTTCAAAGCGTGTAATTAAGGTTGAAATTTAATGGTGGATGCAATTTTTTCAAAAGTTTGCTTGGGAATTTATTCTCTTGAAAAAAAAGAGGAAAAAAACTTCCATGATGACATACAGTTAGACAATGATTTTTATAGACTGCAAGCACATTCCTTTTTTCATTCTTGCACATGGTGCATGAGGGAGTTAAAACCTTTTTGAATGCAGCAATCTCAGGACATTTAGTTCCTTGAAGCAATCTTTTAAGGAATTAAGTGCAGCAAGTTCCAATGTTAAGGTTGCCAAAAATTTGTAAAAGTTATTCATGAACCGATTTTTGAGCTTAAAGGTGCAAATCTCATTTTGGATTTAATATCACCTATGGAGCTTCATTTTTTCACTTGGAGTGGAGTAATTTTTCATAAACAATTCTCAACATCATTTAGCTTAAATCATGTGATTGGTTAAAAACTTTGCACATTCAACAACAGCACCTTCATGGTGTACAGTTTGCTGTGAATGGCTGTTACAAAATGCTAAAAAACCTTGACCTTTTGTAATCTTTATCTCAAAAGGACTCAGCTTTTTAAGTCTTGCCAATAATCAAAACATTTCAAAAATTTGATACAGTTGCTTTGGAAATAAATTGGACTCATTATTTAAAAAAAAAGTTGATGCATTTTGATATATTATATATATATTATATATATATATATATATATATATATATATATATATATATATATATATATATATATATTTTATTGTTTATTGGTTTTAATATTTTGTGCATGTTTGTCTCTATATCCACATATTTTTCTAAAAATTGTTGGTGTGTTGCTTAAATTTTAAGGGAGTCACATTTAAGCTGGAAAACTAGTTATGGTAGTTGACAGGCATAAAACTGAAAACAGAACCGCTGTCAAGCAAATAATAAGATCTTAATTGAAAACATTAGAATGCTAACAATATGCATTTGTTATTCACTAACAAAGTGACATAGAAATGTCAAAATCCATGCAACTCTATTGGCTAGAAACACGCTTTAGGCAATTGTATAGTTCAATTGTTATTAATAAAACTCTACTTCTAATGAAATAACCAAGTAGTTTAATAGCAGTATAGGGTTAAGCCTATAAATAGTCATATATATACCATATTGTGTTATATAATGTAAATATAAACATTATATAAGATATAATGAATATATAAAATATAGATTCTTTCCTTGCTTTACTTATTGGTAGTGACACATTAAAGGTACACACAGTATATTTCCAGATTAAGGACTTTGTATCACAAGATAATTCATCATTTAGTACTTACAGTGTGCAAACAACAGAAGCAAGTCACCATTTTTTGGATTCTATGGTTATGAACTTTTATGGGAAATGTTGTAGTCTTTTTAGGAACAGACTTAACAGTTACATGTGAACGTTTGTACAGATGAACAGTGTTTTATATAATTATTGGGAATTATAGAGATAGTATGAGGGATCTTGCATCAATTTTTTTTCAGAAGGGTCTAAAAAGTTAGCCTAATAAATTCATTTAAAAAAATTGAGCCACTCAAGTGTAATTATTATTTTTGTTTTGATACTTGTGTTGTTTTGGTGTTTCTTTCAAAGTTTTTATTTATTGTGTTTTCAAATTTTCTTTCAGTGGTATAATAAGTGGTTTGATTTATACAGTGGATTTATACTTTCAATGTCATTTCATCAAAAAAATATTGGTGCAAATATTGTAAAAAAATCTCATTATTTTTTTTAGTGTTTTAATTTTAATTATATTGAACACACATGATGATAAATATTGTTAATATGTGTTTATTTTTTTAAAAATAGGTAGTTTAAAAGTTGTATACATAAATGCAACTTAGAGCTGGTCTGTGCAACAAATTTCAATTAAAGACAACTGCTATCTACAGACCATTGATAAGATACTTGCCATCATTATGTGCAAAAGCAAGTCCAACATTAAGTCTCTTAGAGAAACATACCACTGAAGTTAAAATACAGCATAGGAAAGTAAGCACTTCTAAACTTATAACTATATATATATATATATATATATATATATATATATATATATATATATATATATATATATATATATATATATATATATATATATATATATGCCTGCTTAAACCAAACCCTCAATCGATGTAGCAGTACTCCCTTGCGAGTCAGGCTACTTGTCAGTCGATGTAGCAGCACTCCCTTGCATGTCAAGCTATTTGTCAGTCGATGTAGCAGCACTCTGTTGCGAGTCAGGCTATAAGATAGTTGATGTAGCAACACTCTTTTGTAGCAGCAGGCAATAAGATAGTCGATGTAGCAACACTTACGCATGTTTTGAAAATGTTTTTAATAAAACAAAATCAAAAACACCACTAATTAAAAAAAACTTTCTAGTCATTATTATTGCAATAAAACTTAATGTACTTCCGCATTAATTTAATTGCTTTGACATTTTGACAACAATAAAATGTAGCTTAAGAGACAAGGTAAAAAAATTATAGTCGAAAGAGACTTTTTTTTTACCATAAAAGTCTCTTTCGACTACACTATAAGGATATATATATATATATATATATATATATATATATATATATATATATATATATATATATATATATATATATATATATATATATGCCGTAGTGGTGTAGTGGTAGAGCGCTCGCTTCATAAGCAAAAAGTTCCAAGTTCGATCCCACCACATGTAATAAGTTCTTTCTAACCGCTTTATTAAAGTCATCCTTGAAGGTCAACACTCTTCTTTATATCCAGTAACTTCTTGGGTACTTCAAGGTTCTATCCTTGGTCCTGATTTGTTTTTTATCTACATTAATGATCTTCCCGACAACCTTACATTTATATACATATATATATATATATATATATATATATATATATATATATATATATATATATATATATATATATATATATATATATATATATATAATATATATATATATATATATATATATATATATATATATATATATATATATATATATATATATATATATATATATATATATATATATATATATATATATATATATATATATATATATATATATATATATATATATATATATATATATATATATATATATATATATATATATATATATATATATATATATATATATATATATATATATATATATATATATATATATATATATATATATATATATATATATATATATATATATATATATATATATATATATATATATATATATATATATAGGCTTCATATATTATATAGGCTTCAGTGGGAATAAATGAGCACAAGAGCGGAAAAAGCTCTTCTAAAACAAACTTGGGGAGCTGTGCGAGCTGCTCCTCATATAAATCGGCGCTCTTTTTTAATTTTAATTTTTTTTTTAAACAGCCGTGCTTTTTAAAAACAATTGCAGTATATTATGCAGTTAATTTTTTTAAATGACATTGTGTTTTTTATTTTATTTACAATGATAATTAAAAACCTTTTTAGGGGTGTGTGGTAAGAGCTAAAGCTCTTGCTTCCTGCCGAGGCCTATATATATATATATATATATATATATATATATATATATATATATATATATATATATATATATATATATATATATATATATATATATATATATATATATATATATATATATATATATATATATATATATGTATATATAATTTTTTATTATTTAATAAAAAAGATTTAATTTAAGTTTTAAATAAACGTGTATCTATTATTTACAATTTGTCGTATTTTAATACTAAGTTAAAAATGCAACTATTAAAATATTGTGTTAAAAAATATATTTTATTTTTAAAAAGTTTTTAACTAAAAATATAAAATTTAAATAACTTTTTATAAAATACTAAAGTTATTTAGTTCTTTACATATAGCAAATAACTAAAGAGCTTTAGTATTTTTTTCGTTGAAATAATTATATCGTATGTAATTACTTCAATGAAAAAATTATATTTTACCTGATTATTGCAATAGTGTGAAACTTAAACTTGTGAAAAATCATGTAGTGATTTTCACAAGTTTAAGTTTGTGAAAATCATGTTACACCTTTTCATCCAGCGTTTACAGCAAAGTCCTGCATATATAGACCTTTTTAATAACATTAAATACATATATTTAAAAATATATTTAATAGATTTAACTAAAGATTGAATGACTTATCTAGAATTTTTTTAATAGTGGGAATGTGCATGCCAGTGAGTCCCTGAATGATTTGCTTATCTTTCATCAATCGTATGGAGGTGTTTTGTATATGGGATTGTCTGGACCACTTAAGCACCAGCCTTTGTACAAATGTTTTTTTAATTTCTATGTTTGGCTTAAGACAATTATCAGGAGCATTGATGCATTTTCCAACTGTATAATTGATTTTTCATTGTTTTCAATCAATTTTAATGCTTCTTTAACACTAGAACTGCAAATAAGCGTTGTTTGTCTTGATACCAGAGAAACCAATTTGGCTTAAATATTACAAATGACATAAAATGCTTTTTTTAATACCTGTTTTCTTGAATTTGCTTTGCTATGTGTTAAAATACTTTTCAACAATTTTTAGTATGCAAGAAATGATAAAATATTGTTGAAAATATTGTATGATAAAATAAAGTTGAGCATCAGAGCCAATGGCTCTGATGCTCAACTTATGATTCCATCAATTGATGAAAAGCTTGTACTAATCTCTCCCTGGTTTATCATTTGAAAACAAATAAGATTGACCTTGATGTTCAAAATTATTGTTAACTAGTGTGATGATGTCATTTTAAGTTCTACCAACGCTCCATTTGAATACTTTCATGAGTGAATATACCATATTTGATTCAAATGTCAAGGCAATCATGTTTTTGAAGCATATTGTTTTGCCTATGGTGTGGATATTCCTGTAAAAAGTTGCTACTGATATAATGAATGATGAAGCAGCTTTTTTAAGTAAAAATTTTCTACTTTGTACTTTGACCAATGCAAGCACAATTCACACTTCAGTGTATGGCTTCTTGTTTTCTTTGCACGCAAATTTTCTTGAGACATTCTATAATAAAATTAATTTGACAATAATTGATTTCAAATTTATATAAAGAATTTATAGAAATTCAATAGTCACTTTAGATATAATTACTTAATTAATAAGCCCAATTCTACAAATTAACAATTAACATATTTCATTCAACCTCATAGTTCCCCATTTCTGTTTATAAAGCTATAGTTTTTAAACCATTGTCCATAGAGGTCTAAAAACTATTTATATAATTCAGATAATTACATTTAAAAATCTGGATAATCAGGGATATTGTTTCACAAGTCACTGATTGAAGTATAACGAACTGATCATTTAAAAAATAATTTTTATGTTTGTGCTTTATTTACATTTCTTTTTCTTTTTTTTTTAAATGCAAATTTTTTTAATTTTGATGAAATTGAATAAAATTTTCTAAATCAACTTTCTAATTAAATTGATCTATATCTATAAAATTGACATCAGCACAATTTTTTTCTTTCATTCATGTGTAATTTAAGTAAAACAATTGATGTAAGAACAATACATTTAAACAATAATAGATCAGATAGTTCCTTATCTGTTTTATTATCATTCTGATCTAGGCTTTCTTATAAATAAAAACCTAAAAAGAAACAGGTAATGAATGGGTAAAGTCATAAACAATGAAAGTTTTTAGGTATGGTTAGTCAGATGTGAAACTATAGCACTTGTTAGAACATAATTAGATCGGTGGTTTCTAAAGTTTTTTGCCAACCTATTCACTTTTCATAAAAATATAGTTGTCATTTCCCCTTACCCCCGGGCAATTGAAAATTTACTCTAGATGTACTATAATAAAAAAAGAAAGTTTAAATGTTTAATTTCTCATGTTTAAAAAAACTTTTTTAAATTTAAATTTAAAACAATGCCACTTTCTTATAAAAAATAAAAGAGTATATGCCATATAAGAAATTACATGATGCACAAGAAATTACAAATTAAATTGATATATAAGAAATAACAGAATTTTTGATAAATAAGAAATATATCAAGTCAAGTCAGGGAATCTGTTTGGATATTCGGAGTCAAGAAAAATCAAATTACATAAAGAATATCAGCTTACATAAAGGCTATGGATTTCAAAAATTACAGTGAGGAGTTTAACTCCTCACTTGTTTTTTAGTCTGAACTAAGTTAGTAATTATTGTTAATTTTTTTGTTTTTATTTTTACTTTTATTAAGATATATTTTGATATATCCAGATAAACAAATATATCGCTGGAGCAAAGTCATCTTTATTCAAGAAGTTTTTTTATTGGGATCAAAATGCACTAATTAAAGGTATGTATTAATTAAAGGTAAATAATATTAAAGCAAAAATAATAAATAAAAAATTTAAGATAATTGTTAGTTGAAATACAAAAATAACTTTATTTAGTCATAGTGGGGCAGAATTTTTTCTTTCATTATTTTTATTTTTATTCTTTGTTTATTTTTATTCTTTGTTTATTTTTATTATTTTTCTGAAAAAGCTGTATGCTATGCAGATAAGCAAAATTAGTAAACAATTGTTGATCTACATATATGCTATAGTAAATTGTTAAAATTTTTAAAACTCTAAATACTGCATGCCTGGTAAACTATGATATTTACTAAATTGTCAATTTTTTTCTTCAAACTTATGTGATAATATTGTTTGGTTCTAAAAAATGCAGCTTTATTAAAAGTTGAAATACAAAAACATTTAGGATTATTTATCTAATCTTTGTTTATGTAATATTTTTTATATTGATTTTTTTATGTAATGTTTTTTACGTTGATTTTTAAATTTGGACTAAAAACTACTATACCTTTAAATCATTATTATTTTTTATAAAATCTATATTACGTTATTTTGTTTTATAAATTCTATATTCTGTTGTTATGTTTTATAAATTCTATAATATGTTATTCAGGCTTGGTTAGGAAGCGGGAGCAATCACTCTTGATTACTGACCACAGAAATAATATTTAGTTGCAAAAAACTGGCCAGATTTTTTAGTTGTTTTGACAACATTTCAAAATACAAAAAAAAAAAGCACAAAAAAGATTAATTGAACCGATGAGAGACAATTACAAAAAAAAAAAAAAAAAAACTAGGAAAAGAAAATAACTTTTAACAAGAAAAAACTTAAAGCAAAATATATTATGTTTAAAACAAATATTTTTCGAAACATTGCTCTTTTATAGTTTTTTTATAAAATTAAGCGACATTTTTTACATAAAATGCTTAATAAGGAAACAAATGTTTTTTTATTTATCAAAGAGAATACTATAATTTTTAATTTATATACTCGTGTCTTATTTCCAGTGCTGGATTAAGGAGGGTTGGGGTTAGAGGGGGCTATAGTCCCGGGCCCAGCAATGTTAGGGGCCCTGAATAGACAAGAAGACCCTTTTTTTTAGTTATTTTTACACTGTGGTACATGAAAAAAAGCCTCCAAAATAAAAATAGCCTCTGGCCCCAATTCAACAAAGATTATAAAACTAACGCTAGTTTCAGTTTTATTTAAGATAAATTATTTTATATATAAATAAGTTAATTTTTTTAATAACTATTTTATGCTTCACATAGTTTGAAAAGTTTAACATATTTGAAACGATTCTTCTTAGTAAGATGAACAACTGAAATAATTAAATCATTGAGTTACTGTAGAAATTAAATTAACTAGATATATATCAACTAAAAAGGTTAAAATTACTTTATGAAGAGGAAGCGAAACTGCTTCACAATACCACTGATGTATAGTGAGTGGGTTTTTTAATTTTAATTAGTATTTAAAACAGAAAAAAGTAACTTTAAGTGTAATGAGTTTGTAAGAATGGCAACTGAAGCAAAAATAATTAGAGTTAGTAAACCAATATCTAAGAACTTAAAAACTTTTCTTAGTGGAAAGAATCAGTTATTGGGTACATGGAAGAAAATGGATTAATTATGTTTGTTTTGTGAAACAATATTGTCTAATGTTGGATATAGCTTCTTAACTTGTAGTTTTGTTGGGCTCTCTTCTTATGGGATGCGTCATTGCTGTTTGCCTACTACTCTGTAGTTTGTGCACAACAAAACAGCTTTCTAGTTTTATTGCATAGATTTAGTCCCATAAAATCATTACATTACTGAAGAGTCCTAGAGGACAAAACAATATTGTCTAATGTTACTCTCGAATTCTTAATACAAGAGGGGATGGGAATAAAAGGGTGGGTGGGAATTTTATTCCGGATCTAAAAAAGGGGGGAGGGGGTCCGAATTTACACTGAAAAGTTTCAATATTTATCAGTTACTAGTATGCTTTTGAATTCTTAAGGCCGATTTTTACTTGAATTTTTTTTTAGTTTTGAGAAATAATTTTTTTGTTGATAACAAGTAAAAATTAATATATGGGGTGGGTAGGTGGGGGTGGTAGCTTAATTAACTTATGGTGGATGGGAAAATTTTCTAAAAATTATTTAATAAACATCCACCCCAACCACTTTTATTAAGTAATCGGTGTTGTTAAGGCACTTTTAAAATATTATAGCATCTGTAAGATATTTTGTTGACTATGACAGATTTCTATTAAATGGTCAGGTCTGTGAATTATGAAAAGACAAAAAATATTAAAATGATAAATTTTGCGGTATCATAAAATATAAATCTTTGTAGCGAAAAAATCCAGACCATTTTAAGATTCTTTTTTTTAAAAAAAAATCATCTTAAAATCACAATCGCTCTTCCAAAATTTGAATAAGGTTTTAAATTAACAAGTGATAACTAAGTTTTGGCACAAATGCAAAAGTACATGTAATTTTATTACTACATACTCTATAAACATTGTAAATTACTTAAAATGAAGCTCTTGTATTATTATACAGTTTAATAAAATTTTTTACTAATCTTCTTTTTTTTCAAATTACAGGAGATGGCAAAGTACAAGACTATAAAAAATAAATTGTACAAATTCATTGTTCAGAATCCTGAAATAGAATCAAATGAAATTGCAAAGCGTTTTATTAGACTTTCAGCTTCAAAACGTAGTATATATCGTTGGATCAAGCAAGTAAAAGAGACCGGTACATTAAAAAGAAAAATTGCCAATGGTTGTCCAGTAAAAATACAACCAAAAGTAACATTATAAAACTAAAAAATATGTTCAATCATAGATCAGGACATTCTCAAAGAGCAGCTGCTAGAAAATTTGGATACTCTCAACTATATGTTAACAAGTTGTTAAAAATGCGTACTAACATCAAGTAAAAAAAAATTAAAAAACTACTTCGAACTGAACAAAAAAAGCTAGCTAGACTGAAATGCAGACAACTTTTACAACATTATGGAAATTGTGATTTTTTAGTCGATGATGAATCGTACTTTACTTTGAGTCACGCTGATCAGCCAGGCAATGATGCTTTCTACACCGATGACTTTAATAAGACACCGGATAATGTTAAATACAGTTTCAAAAAAAAGTATCCCTAAAAGTTGCTTGTATGGCCTGCTATATCACCTAAAGGATTGACAAAACCTTTTTTTTAAAAATCTGGAAATGCAATCAACTAAGACGTTTATTGTGAAATTCTAAATAACAAACTCCTTCCGTTTATTAAAAAAAGTTATAGTGCTAGTTGTTATGGGTTTTGGCCTGATTTAGCGTCCACTCATTATGCTTCTAAGGTAACTAAATTTTTGGAAGACCAGAATATACCTTTTGTCCCAAAATTCATGAATCCAGCAAATTTGCCGGTAGCTTGTCCAATAGAAGCTTTTTGGGGAAACTTGAAAATAAAGGTTTACAAGAACAACTGGATGGCAAAAAATCTTGTTAGAAAAAAAGATAGAAAAGAGTTAAAAAAAAAGATAGAAAAGATAGAAAAAAGAAAAAAAGAAAAAAAGATAGAAAAGAGTTAGAAACAAAGATAGTTAGATGCCTTGGCAATATGGACTTAAAGTTTGTACAAAACCATGCTTTATCATCAAGAAAAGGCTTGATAAAATAAGGAGATCTGGACTCTAATTATTTTTTCATTATTATTTTTTTATAATAGACTTAATAATATTATAATGTATTTAATAGATCTAAAATAAAATTTCTAACATTAAGTTTTAGTTTAAGTTTGTGCCAAAACTTAGTTATCACCTGTTAATATGTTTTTTAGGTGAAATAAATATTATAGTTCAACAATATGATCTATTCTGATCGTTTATTGGCAATTTTCCATAATTATAAGCTCTTTCTTGGTTAGAATTCTAGTATTTTTTGTGAAAATTGATAGAAATATTGGGTTTTGACAACTATATATAGATAATATACGTCAGAACTGATTAGAAATGGGATCAGTAGTAAATAAAGGAACTTTTTTAAAAGATTTTAACCAAATTTTTATTGATGTTAATGAGCGGAATTGATCTAAAGAATCCAAAATAGTGTTATTTAGATTCACTATTACGGGTAATAAAAAAAAGAAAAGTTTCTTTAAATATTAAAAAAATCTTAAGCAAAAAAAATTATATTATCTAAAGCTTTTGTTTGGACATAATACGCTGATAAAATCATGCTAATTCCAAATAAAAGTATTTGAAAAATTTGTATATATACATATATATATATATATATATATATATATATATATATATATATATATATATATATATATATATATATATATATATATATATATATATATATATATATATATCAGGCCTTGTTAAGAAGCATTTCCCTATTTAAATTTTACGTACGTATTCACAATTTTACGTACGCGTTTTGCAATTTACGTTACGCAAAAACTTTTTTCAATAAGTTTATTTTAAACAGTCTTTTAAAACAGATTAAGCGGAAAACATTAAACTGTAATTAATTGTTGTAAAAAATATTTGTCGAATATTTTTTTTAATTAGATAAAAAAACAGATAGATATCCTTTTTCTATTTTCCTTTTTATAAAAAAAAATATGTTTTTAATTTATTTTATTAAATTTAAATTAATTTTATTATTATTCATAGTTTTAGTAATTTATTTGACTAAATTTGATTAAAATTCTTTTAAAAATTTCACAACGCTCCGTTTTACAATTTTTTTCACTGATAAAATTTCCAAAATTTATGTTAAAGTAAAAAAAAATTTAATAAATTTAATTCAAGTTACTTTAAAATGTTCGCATTACATATAACTTCATTTTGATTTAAGTTTCAAATAGTTCCAGTTCCAAATACTGGTCTGAATAATGCGTTATTATAAATTTATAAATGATGTCAATACAATAAAGTTTTTTCAAACTCGAGTTTAAATGTTATATTTGGGTTTTCGCTTTGCCGTTAAATTTGGTGTAAAAGAATTTTTTTATAAAACGAACCAAACTTTGAACTGATTAAAAATAACATGATCAATAAATAAACTCTTTAAAAGCCTAACTTAAATTTATTTTATTTAAAAAAAAAAATCACTTTTGCTATAAATATAAGGTTTATAAAATTTCAAAATTATACTTATATTTGTAAAAAACAAGTTCTGGTAATAACATCTTATAACAGAAAAACTATTTTTTTTTTGGATTCAGTAAGAAATAGTAAAAATACATTAGGTTTCACTGTGCATAAAAATAAAATATTTTAATGGAAAAAAAAGCCGAAAAGCAGTAATCTTCGTTTAATTACAATTTTTATTTTATCGAAAGCCAGTTAGCGCAAAGGTTTTTTTTAAAAAGGGGAAAACCCAATCTAATTGTGTACATTTAAATCCCTTTAAGAAAATTAACTATAAACAAGTGTGCCCTCATTTTAAAAAAATAACCATAAAAATAGTTAAAAAAAAAAAAAAAATTAAGTTTAAATAAGTATAAGATTTTAAAATAAGGAAATTTTAATCAACATCAGAGTTAAGGTTAAATTTAATTTATAACTTTTTTAGTCACAATATTGTTTAATTTAAACATATAATTTTAAATATAAATTTTTGAACATTTTAAAGAATTTTAAATTTTTTAAACATTTAAAAGACTTACAATAATTTCTGAATTTAATTGCAATGAGGTATTTTAAAATATGTAACTGGCGCAATTAAACTTTTAACGATGTAAATATCTTTATTTAATAAAGTTACATATATTCACGTTGCGCTTTTCCATTACACAACAAAATCTCATATATATATATATATATATATATATATATATATATATATATATATATATATATATATATATATATATATATATATATATATATATATTATTGCAAACTTAGATGATTATTAATAATTTCATTGAAAATGTAATTATTGTCGAAAGTCTTTTTGTTTACAAAATAAATTGTAAAGATTACATTAGAATAAAAAACAGATACACACTTTTACAATTACATTTACATAAAAGTACATATTTTTAAAATAAAAAATACAAATATACTAATAAAATCTATAATATTTAATAAACTTTCAAAATTTTGATAAATTAAATAATATATATTTAAAACATTTATTTTTGTAAACAAATAATAATAGTTTAAAAGATTTACAGCTTTGCAGATGTGGCTCCGAGAACTCCGAGAGATGTGGCTTCGAGAATGAGCCACAAAATAATAGTTTGTTTGATAATATATTCTTAAAACAATTTGTGATAGAAAATATCGAAATATACAATTTTTAGAACATTTCAACAGAATACTCTAGAACTTTATTTGGCTTAATCAGCATATTTTTTGATCCAATAGAATTAGTTTGTTCGTAGATTTGGCAGATTTTTAGAGTTTGCTTATTCTAAATATTTTTTTAATTCTATCACACCAAGATGTTTTTAAGAACATTCAAGCTTATGTGTTTCCATGTATGTCCGTAAAACAAAAATATTTTGTTTTATGGACATACATGAACTTAAATGTTCTCAAAACAACTTAAAAATCTGGCCAGTTTTTTGCAACTAAATATTATTTCTGTGGTCAGTATTCAAGAGCACTCGCTCCTGCTTCTCGACCAAGCTTAGTTATTTTATTTTATCAATTCTATATTCTGTTATTATGTTTTATTAATTCTATAATATATTATTATTTTTTTATAAATCCTATATTCTGTTATTATGTTTTAGTTCCTTCTTGGTTACTGTCTGTTGGTCCTTCAAATAAAAAGTCCAATAATTCTTTTAAAGGTAAAAAAATAGGTTATCCACTATATTGTTATAGATTAAAATTAGATTAGTAAATTAATCATGCATCTAGTGTAAAGTAAGCAGCATGAGTGGCTTATCATCATTGCTTTTTTGACAAGCCCTCGAAATGACAAGTTTTTCATCACGTTTACTCTTCATTTTTTAGCTAGTGTTGGATGCTTTTTTTTTTGTATAGAAAGTATATATATATATATATATATATATATATATATATATATATATATATATATATATATATATATATATATATATATATATACATAATTTTAACTATACATTATTGATATTTAGTTAAATTGTTGCTGGTTTGAATTACACTTTCAGAATTTATATATATACAGATCTAGGAATTACAAAAATAAGGTCGGCAATATTTTTCCTTGACCTTAATCTGTGTGAGGTCGGCATCAGGTTGACAGAAAGAATGTAAAACAAAGGTTTGACCAAAAACATAAAAACAAGGTTGGTGATTTTTTGCAGACCTCAAACACTTCTAGGTCGACATTTCCAAAAGCTGATTCTGAGGGTTTATATATATATATATATATATATATATATATATATATATATATATATATATATACATATATGTATATGTATGTATATATATATATATATATACATATATGTATATGTATGTATATATATATATATATATATATATATATATATATATATATATATATATATATATATATATATATATATATATATATATATATATATATATATATATATATATATATATATATATATATAACCCTTGGAATTAGGGTCAGCATTCGGAAATTCCAACCTAACTGCCAATCTGAAAGTATTTGAGATTGGAAATCTTTTGCTGACCTCGTTTCTATGTTTTATGGTAAGACTTTTGTATCAAATTTTATATATATATATATGTATATATATATATATATATATATATATATATATATATATATATATATATATATATATATATATATATATATATATATATAATGCAATATAACACAAAAAAAAAAAGCGTTATAACGCAAAGAAATGATCATTATATTTTTTTAGCAAATTTTGGAAACCAATGAGGTGTTTTTTGCAATCTACAAAATAAAGAATTTTTTTTTTTTTTTTTTTTTGAGAATGTAAAGTTTCTTTAAAAAATATTTTAACTTTATTGTCTGATGATGAGTCTGATATTTTAACTTTGTTGTCTGATGTTGATGATGTCTTTATTGTCTGATGTTGATGATGTCTTTATTGTCTGATGTTGATGATGTCTATATTGTCTGATGATGAGTCTGTCTATAAGTCTTGAAATATAACAAACCTAAATAAAAAAGTATTTAATCAAGTCATATAAATTTTAAAAATAATTTGTCATGGATATTTGTTTTAAGTGAAAGTTGCTGATTTGAAAAGATTTGATTAAGAAACTGTTTAATTAATACTTAAAATACTAAGTACTTAAAATACTTAAAGAAAGAAAAAAGAAAAAAGTTTAAACAATTAATTCAAAGTTCAAAATCAAGAAAGAAAAAGAGAACTTATATTTATATTATAGGAGTGGTATTAATTTAACTAATGTAATAATGACAGTAATAATAACTACAATAACAATATTTTGAGAGGAAAGAAGACTATTTTTAGAAGGACTATTTTTTTTTCCTTAATATAAATTCTTTTTTCTTTTTTAACTTAAGTGAACTTGTTATTAACATGTTTGTTGGAGAGTTTTCTTATCATTCAAAAAAAAACAACTCAATCCTTCAGTAGCTCATTATTTTAATGCACCTTTCTAAAACACTGTGTATATGTATAAATGAACATCTTAAAATTAAAATTTTAAAATCTTTTTTTTATTATTTGTAAAAAAAAAAAAGAAAAAAGTTATAACTTGTGTATATAATAATATGTAAATAAACTTATTCATACAGAAAATGAAGGCAATGAAAATCCAGATGGAAAGAATCAGGAAAACAATCCTTACAATGGGCCAAATTTTTTTTTATGGGCAATCGGATTTTTTCTAATTAGTGTGCTTTTAAAGAATGGTGGCAATGGAGGCATTCCAGAGACGTCATGGCCAGTTTTTTTACGACTTATGTTGCAGACTGGAGAAGTTGATAGATTGACTGTCTCTTCAAATCAAGATCAAGTTTATGTTTTTCTTAAAGAAGGCGCACAAATTAACGGTAGAGAGGTTAGTAGTTCTGGTCCCGATTATAAATTTTCAATTGGAAATCTTCAGAGGTTTGAAGAAAATCTAATTGCTGAGCAGAAAAAGCTTGGTATTGAATCACCTGATTACATTCCAGTATCATATAGTTCTTCAAATAAAAGCAAGTAGGTTGTTTTATGATATATGTATATGTAAATTCAGGGTAGGGTCAAAAATTGTCGCCCCTCAGACCATTTTCGAGACCTGCTGGAGGAGGGCAACAAATCATTGTTCATTTTTTCAGTAAAAATGAAACAATGATTGGTTGCTCCCATAAATCAGAGCTCAAAAATAGTCCAGGGGGCGACGTTGATGTCCGACTGTTAAATTGAGCTCTGTATATTTATCAGGGACAAACACAGACATGTTTAGTACCACTGATGTGGTGTGGGTGCTGAAAAATGTATTTACTACTTTTTTCTAATTATTGTTAAAGTGTAAAAATGTTACTGTTTTAAATGCAGTACACATTTTCTATTATAGAAAGCTCATTGTTTCATCAGGAAAATACAATAGATTATAAAAATTAAAAAGTTATGGATTGATTATTATTGGAATTATGATAATTATGGAGTAATAGTTTAAAAATAAAAAGCCACATTATCACAAAATTTTTTTGTAAAACTCGATTGAAGGCAAGAATATGTATTAAAAATAAAAAATATATAAAATCATTAAAAACAAAAATCTTGCTACAATAACCAACAACAACTTTAGTTTATAAAAATCAGCTCCAGAATATAAAGAATAGATTTTGAACATAATAGATATTATATTTAACATGTTAACCAAAATAGTAGATCAAATTGGAACAGTAGAACAAAATTATCTTTTAAAACTGGTTTTATGTAACTCACGAGCTAAATTATTCTTACTTTGTTTCTCTCATACTATTGAAATAATGATTAATGAAAAAAATTTTAAATTATATAAATTTTCATTTTTAAAACCATGTTTCAACAGTAGACAAATATGTATAATATTTGTCTACTGTTGAAACCAGGAATAAATTTGATACTGCGTTTTGACAAAATTGGAAATTTGTTACAAAAATTTCCCAATTCTACCCCCCGTCTCCCCCTCCCTGATATTGAAAAGGTGTTCAGAAATGCGTGGCAGTGCCTGATCAAGGGGGCTAGGGGGCTATAGCCCCAGGTCCAGCAAATTTAGCGGCTCCCAAAAATTTTAGAGGACCTTTTTTTTCTTTCTTTTTTTAATTATTTTTAGGCTCTAGCCCATAAAAAGGCCTCCAAAAACAAAAATAGCCCCAAGAAGTCTTAATCCACCACTGATATGTAGGATTCTTCTCTTATACTTTTCTTCTTCTACTCCTCTGCAGCGCTGCATACATTGATTGGACAGCGCCAAAAAATGAAATAAAATACTCACTGTAATATATATTGAAGCTAAATATGAAATCAACACAAAATGAGACGTGGTTTCACAATGACACGGCAAATTAAGTTCTGTTTTCCAAAGATATATTAAGAATTATTTTTATATTGTAAAATGATCAGTATAAATTAATTATTATTAGGAGTAATATATTTGATTTATTTTTAGTGCTAATATATCATTGTCGCTTTCATTTCCAGAGAAATCTTTTAAATGTATATTTCTTTTTCAATGGTGGGCATTAAATATTGATTTTTAAAGTAATAAAGCAATTTATGTTTACTGAAAATCTCAGCGGAAGAGAGCCAATGATTTTCTACTTCTATTTATTGTTTAAATTCTGCTCGACATTTTTTATGGACGAACCTTTACACCATCATATAATAAGTTGTGTCCTCAAAAAAAATGTTTTAAAATAGAAAAGATTTGAAAATATGAACATGAGCTCATAAATTTTATATTTCACATTTATTTCGAGTTCATTTTTATAATTAATATTAATTTTCTTTAGACATAAATCGCATAGCGAAACAAAGTTACAATTACAAAATCTCAGCAAAATCAAAAACAAAAGTCGTTTAATTACAAAAAAATTGTACTTGCACGCTATCGTGGCAACAAAGATAATTATTTTTTCATTCATAGTCATAAAAACATTTTATGACTGTGGTTCATTCAAACATTTAAATTTGCTTTTACGTTTTAACTTCAAGCAAGCAGTGACTCCAGTTTTATCTATTTTTAAATTTCTTGTACCAGTTTGTTGTAATAAAAAAAAAAATACTTGTTTAATTTAAGTTTTAATATACTTATTTAATTAAGGTTTTAAATAAAAGCAAGCAGTAAAGTAAAGAAATCTATTTTCCTCATTAAATAAATTTCTTGTACCAGTTTGTTATAATAATAAAACATTTTTTGTATTTAACTTATGTTTCAGAGGTGGTCTTTTAAAAAAGTTAGTTGAGAAAAGATTGTAGATAAGTAAAAAATGATTTTAGTCAATGCGATCACGTTATTCAGTTGATTTGACCAAACAAAAAAAGAGAACTAAAAGACTGACAGTTAAATTCGTAATTGATCAAAATTTCGAATGTATCTGACAAATGCGGCTTCTCATTATTTTTGTTGACAAATCACATGTACTACTGAAGTAGAGTTTGCAGTAAAACTTAATAAGTTATTTTACTTTTCAGCCAAAAAGGGAAAAACTTTCAAAGAAATAGCATTTGCGGTGTTAAACCAAACAAGCTTGTTATTTTTTTAGATTGTACTCTATTTCTTGCTAATTTTTTTTATATAATATTTGCTGTTGTTAAAACGCATTGCAAAAAATTTTTTGCAAATTTTGAGATGTAAATTTTACTAGCATGTTGCCGGGAGAATCCTTAAAATGTTTAAGTTTTTTCCAATAGACATTTTCGCTGTTATGCAATAGCGTAGTTATACCAATAGCGGTGGTTTTATTTGAAGTTTTACATAATAAATTAGAGTTTTGTATGTTATTTTTCTATTAGTTTTTAAAAATAATTAATTTTCAATAATTTTTAGAATTATTATTCAACTTTAATTTTGAAAACTTTATTTGGATTGGGAATTTGAATTTTTTGAGCATTTGGGAATACCGCGTTTGACGGGTCCCAACAGGGCTAGTTTACACCCTGAATATATCATTGTTTGTGCAAAATCTTTCAAATGGCGTAATTAATCAGTTTTAAGAAGAAAATTTTGAATCTTTTGTTCTTGAACACAAGAGCAATGTCAGAAGAAAGGTTTTTTGAAATTTGTCATGTCAGAAGCAAGACATTGGGCTTTTGTGATTTTATAATAGACAAATATAAATTTAAAATAATAGACGAAAATAATATAAAAATGCTGTTTATGATAGTAATTATTGATTTTAAAAAATCAATAATTAATTCAATTTTATTATTTTCGCTCAATATTATTTTATATTACTTTTTTAATATTTGATATTATTTTATATTACTTTTTCGATATTGTATAAATATCCAAAGTTTTTCAATATTATATTTAATATTAAACGATTTTATATATGATTAAAATTTAAATAAAATTGTATGTCGATATCTATAAATGTCCAAAGATTGTACAAGTAAGAATATATGTATTTCCAGTTCATAGTTTTCAAGAAACAAAACAAAACATTTGTTATAAGTAAATTTAAAACAAAGTTATAATAACTATGTGTACCTATCAACAGTACTCCTGTGTTTGTACCTATTAGCAGTACTCCTATGTTGCTGAGTATGTGTGTACAGAGGACACCGTTGGTCACTTTTTGTGATCATATTTTCGCATAAACAATTATAATAACATTGTGTACCTATTACCAGTACTCCTGTGTTGCTGTGTATGAATAACTAAAATTTGCCAAAGATTGAACTGTTGAAATTATTTTAGGGAACCTTTTAAACATCTTTGAAGGTTCTTTAAACTAATCTCAATTTACTAATTTGAATCTGAAAAAAAATCTAATCTAAATTTTGTCTTGTTTGTTGAACTGTTTTTAGCTTTACAAAGGTTATTTATTGTCTTTCAAAAAAAAAAAAAAAAATTAGAAATTAAATTTTAAAGGAAAAGTCGTTTTGTTCTTTTCTTGATTTAATTTTTAAAATTAAAATTTAAAAATCTAAATTTTTTTTCCACTAAGAATTTTTTTAAATCTTTGAAAACTTCATTTACTAAACAAAGAAAAGCTTAAAAAATTTTAACTAATGTTATTTAAATGTTATTCATTAATTAAATGTGTTTTTGTTTATCTAGTGTATTTTTTGATACAAATTGTATAAATATAAATTTATACAAAAACGTGTTATTGAATGACATGTTTCTATGTTTAGGTGTACACTGAGGCACACACATGCAATAACATGCCGTTCTGACCACATCTAATAAATGTTATGTAAATATTATCTCTTTTTTCATTGTATAGGTTTTCTCTTCTGGAAATTATGATGATAGGAGGTGCAGCATTGGCATTTATTTTTTACTTTATTTCCAATAAAACTAAAGGAGGTCTAGGATTTGGTTCATTTGGAAATCCATTTGTAAGTATGTTGATTTTTTTAATTTTATAATTTGACTTGTAAAATATTAATTAAATTTGTTAACTTGTTTTTTGACAGTCTTGTTTGTACATATAATTTTTTCTTTTATAGTTACGTCATACGGTTGCCAAAGCAACAATAATCAAACCAGGATCTAAGCAGGGAATAAGGTAATTTTATTAAATAGATTTATTTTGAATTTTTTATTTTTAAGTTGTTTTGTAATTTTGTTATTTTTCCACATTGTTGTTATCTCAATGTTTAAAATAGCTTTATTTTGAAAATTCCTTTTCAAAATCAAAAATGTCTTTTTATGGATATATAAATGTAACAATATGAGAGTCAGGCGATTTTTGTATTCCAAAAGTTACTGGAACAAAAATCTTGCTCATCAAATTAACTTGAACATTTGTGGAAAAGGCTTTTTGAAAGTCTTGTTTGTATATTTGATTTTTTTACATTTACTCTACATTACATTTTTGAGAAGAACAAAGTGTAAAAAACTAGTTTTACAAAGTGTAAAACTAGTTTGCCAGATTTTTATTATTAAAATAAATTTTGTTTCTTACTTTAATTATCCAATATAACAACAAACATGCAATATATTTAATATATTAGAATATAATATATAAATCAAGAAAAATCACCGTTATAAGTACACTGCACAAAGTGCACATTACAAACAAAGAGGAAGAAAGTTGCACTACAATATTTTTAATCATGATATTATTTTTAAAAATTGTATTATTAAAATTCAGAACTAAAGTATGTAAAAAAAAACATTTTTTTGGACAAATTGTTTATAATATTATGTATTGTATTTTTGAAACATTAGTTTCTATTTATCTTAATTTTTATTTTTAGTTTTATATTACTTAGTTTTTTTTAGATTTAAATCTACATTTGTCATAAAATTGGCTTCTTATATACGATGTGTTTTGGTCCTCCTTTTTCCTTAATTACTTGATTATTCTAGTTTTAGCTAACTTAGCTATCATTTTAAAATCAAACTCAATTGAAAAAAATTCTCTTTTATTATATAGTAGCTCACACATGTGATCTGTTTGCAACAGAATAATGTAAAAATCTACTACCATTTATAGTATTTAAAGTAATGCAATCACAGCAAAACTAGCAACAAATTTGTTTTTTGTTTATATGTTTATATATATATATATATATATATATACATATATATATATATATATATATATATATATATATATATATATATATATATATATATATATATATATATATATATATATATATATATATATATATATATATATAAGATTAAATTTTAATTTGGGTGGCACCCAAATACAGTTGACACTGCCAAAAATGGTAGTGTCAAATATATATATACATATATATCGATGGCATACTGCAAGATTAAAAACTGTAAAAACTGTCATTTGTGTGAATAATTATAATAAGAAGAGTTTTTGTGTTTACCACATATTGTTAATTAATAGACTTTTTATTGTTTTTTGTACACATACCATATTTATGTATGACAAACTATAAATAAAAACACGTTATTCTGCGTACTTATTTCAATTGACCAAAATTTGTACTTACCATATCTGTGCACTATGCCATCGATATATTTATATATATATATATATATATATATATATATATATATATATATATATATATATATATATATATATATATATATATATATATATATATAATATATATATATATATATATATATATATATATATATATATATATATATATATATATATATATATATAAATTAGTAGAAAATCACTTTACAAAAATTTTTTTTCATTTTACACTGTGTTTCATCAACAAAGGCTCATCAGAAATTTTTTTTATATAATTTCTACTAATTTATAATTGCTCTGTTCTTTTAAGAAAATTTAGTACTCTATTTTGTAGAATACATTTTTAAAATTGTTTATGTGATATTTTATTGCATAAAAACTATGATTTTTTAACATTCATTTTTTTAAATTTTTTTTTGTAGATGTTTTATAAAATTATCAGATTAAGAGTGTGAGAGTATAAGAACATTTTTTAAAAAAAGCTGTTTAAATTGGCACTCTTTGTTTATATATATATATATATATATATATATATATATATATATATAATATATATATATATATATATATATATATATATATATATATATATATATATATATATATATATATATATATATATATATAATTTTAGTTTCAAAAAGGTTGCTGGAATGAATGAAGCAAAACAAGAAGTAATGGAGTTTGTGGATTTCCTTAAAAATGCAGATAAATTTAAAGAATTAGGAGCAAAAATGCCAAAGGTTATTTGTTGTAAAATTTTATTTTTATGAAAGCATAATTTAGGAACTGATAAAAAGTACAAAGAACTGAAAGAACTATTCTTGATATATATATATATATATATATATATATATATATATATATATATATATATATATATATATATATATATATATATATATATATATATATATTTATATATTTATATATATGTATATATATATATATATATATATATATATATATAGTCTTGCATGTCTCTTGCGTAGCATCAAAAAATATTTCCCATAAACTGTAGTTTTAAAGAGCGCGTTAAGAAACCAGACCAGAAAAAGTTTTAAAAATTAAATTTTTTTTTTTAATTGATAGACTGCCTGGCCAAACCAAACCCTCAGTCGATGTAGCAGCACTCTCTTGCGAGTCAGGCTATTTGTCAGTCGTTGTAGCAGCACTCCCTTGCGAGTCAGGCTATTTGTCAGTCGATGTAGCAGCATTCCCTTGCGAGTCAGGCTATTTGTCAGTCGATGTAGCAGCACTCCGTTGCGAGTCAGGCTATTTGTCAGTCGATGTAGCAGCACTCCGTTGCGAGTCAGGCTATTTGTCAGTCGATGTAGCAGCACTCCGTTGCGAGTCAGGCTATAAGATAGTCGATGTAGCAACATTTACGCATGTTTAAAAAATGTTTTTTATTAAATCAATAACAAAAACACCACTAATTAAAAAAAACTTTCTAGTCGTTATAATTGCGGTTTTTTAAAAATTTTTTAAAAAACAATTAAATTTAATGTACTTCCGCATAAATTAATTGCTTTGACATTTCGATGACAATCAAAAACAGCTTAAGAGACGAGGTAATTAAAATTGTAGTCGTAAGAGACTTTTTTTACATTAAAATGCTCTTAAAGCGACACTATATGAGTATATATATATATATATATATATATATATATATATATATATATATATATATATATATATATATATATATACATATATTATTTTTCATAGATCTTTGTATATTTTTTTCTTAGCACAATTTTATAAATCAAATAATTTGATAGCAGTTTTTATTTTATTTTTATATTGTGGAGAATGCATAATACTTGGAGGCTGCATAGGGTAAGGTGGGGCAAGAAGCCCACCATAAGCAATTTCGTCTTTTTTTTACTGATCCAATAAACGTATCTAGAAATTTATGTTACCATTATTTCAGATACATAATAAACTTAAGTATCTAAAGTTATTTTCTTAATAGCTACTCAAGTTTTAATGGAAATATGCTTTTTATAAACTGCTATAGAGTGGGCCTTTTGCCCCATTGCTGGGGCAAAACGCCCCTACCCTGGGCCTTTTACCCCAAACGTTAATAGCTTGAAATATTCCTTTTTTACAATAAAAATTTATTGCAACAATACACTTTTTACTAGTCACAATATATTTGTGTGTAAAAATGTCCAACAAAAGTTTTAGTAGAACACTTTGTCATCTCCACTTTTCATTCTCTTGGATTTGTCTGCGATTACATCGATTTCGCCTTCATCATTTTCCTCATTATTATTTTCAACTACTACTTGCTTGTTCTGTTTTGTCTTCTTTGCATTTGCTTCAATTAACATTGCTTTATAAGGACTAGAAGTTATTACAGTTGCTGCTTCGGTTTTTTGTTTGCGACTGCGTACATTCTTTATCCTTGGAATAGGGCTTAGTTCTGATATAATCTGCAATGCTTCGGATAAACCAGGACGATCAGCTGTTTTATCTAGTTGATTTTCATCGAACTCATTGCTATCTCCTGTTGCAATCCTATCAGTCTCCATCACATTAACCGGTGCTTCATCATCCACCGCATTGCCGGCTTCTTCATTTGTATTCGTAGGTTCACTTGTTTCGTTTCTAGCTAATAATGCTCTTTCCATCATTTGGATGTGTTTAACAAGATCTTGTTCAATTTCAATAGAAAAAGTATTTACATGATTTCCTAATTTATTGCTCCCAACTTGTCTTACTTTGCCCTGCAAATGCCTTCTTAATGTCTTCCTTGAAACTCCAAAACTGTTTTCAGCTTTACGCAAAGACATACCATTTTTTACTGAATCTAAAGCCCGTTGTAAACCTTCTGCTCCATAACTTCCTCTTTTTGTCTTCCTTTTGTAATTTCTAACCATATCTATAAATAAAATAAAGTTAAAATTTGAACATTCTACTTAAATAATTCAAGGGGTAAAAAGCTCAGGATGGGCCTTTTGCCCCATTAACAAACTGGGCTTTTTGCCCCAAAATGGTCGGTGCAAAAATTGATAAAAACATATTATTCTATGGTACAATGAACGTTATGTAAATAATCAATACATAATTTGTACGCTTACAAATACATAAACTCATTTAAATAATCAACTAAGTTTAACAATAATCTACAAAAAAATTTTAAAATTACGCAAAAAATCAAAATATCCTATTCTTATTACCTGTCAAGTCTTCAATATTCTGTTAAAAATTATATTTCTACTAAAAGTTCACCAAAATTCGCTTGCAACACTGTTACACATTTATCATTCATACTACAAAACAATAATTATAATATTTTACCTAGGATCTTTATAACTGCAGGATCGGCCTTTTACCCCACCTGGGCCTCTTGCCCCACCCTACCCTACTACTTGCAAGCATATTTACCTGCTTCTGATATAGGCTACACATTTCTTTAGGGTGCTTTACTTTGTGGACCACCAGGAACTGGAAAAACATTGTTAGCTAAAGCTATAGCTACAGAATCTTCTGTTCCGTTTCTCTCCATGGCGGGTTCAGATTTTGTTGAAATGTTTTCAGGTATTAGATATTTTAAAAATTTTGATTTATATTGATTACTTATATGTGTAATTAATGAGTGGCTTCTTTTATTTTATATATTTTTCCTTAGCATTTCCTACAACATTTATGGAGCAATTCTTAGTTAAACAAAATTTGTTATGGCTTTGTTATTACTTTATTTGTTATTTTCTAAACCTAAAGATTTCTTAAACTAGAAACTTAATTTTGAAAATATAAAAAGAAATATCCTGAATTAATTTTTAGACAGTTTTTCTTTTTATATTTTAATAAAAAATTAAGTGTTTTTAAAAAAACAAACTCTCAATTGTTGTAATCAGGTACCACTATTTTTTTTTTTTTTTACCTTTCTGTTATTTCATTTCTTTTGACATGCAAAATAAAATATAAGTTGCAGTGTTATATAAGTTTAGTGTAAACAATAAAAGTTTACATTTTTTTCTATAATTGATGTCAACTTTATATTGTAATTATAATGAAACTTTTTTACAGTTAAACTTGTTAGATATAAAACAGTATCCACACACACTTTAAAGTGTGTTTTTAAAGCACACAATTTGAAGTGACGTTAAACAGCAGTATCACTTTGAAGTAAGCAACATTAAAATATTGTGTAAGTGTAGTTACAATTATAGTTAATCATTTCAAAAGTTGCAGTTACTATCAAAAAATTAATCAATATTTGAAATCAATATACTGCAAAATGGGAACCTAAAAAATAGTATAAAATAGCATAAAGAATTTGAAGCTCCTACAAATATAATATTTATTTAAATGCCCTTTAAGAATCCCTAATTTTAAATGTTCACCATTATCTTTGAATAAAGAAACACTTCCTACAATCACACTTATAAAATAATGCCAAATTACCAAGAAATCTTGCGAATTTTTACTAGAGCAGTCACTTATCGGTAATATATGCTAGTTTGGGGTAGAAGTCTGAGAGAATAGGCCCCACAACCCACAAATATGATCGCACATTATTCCGCTCTGGCCAAAACTGTTCTCCACAACTAGTCTAGTAAAATATATCAAATAACTATGAAAGTCTTGTAACAGCTTATTGGTAATTATTTTTGAATTCCAAATTAAAAATAAACATATTTCTACTTGAACCAAAAATATTCTCCTCAACAACATAACCAACAAAACAATATGAAAAGTGAATCTTTTGCAACAACTTGAACTTTAACTTTTTTAATATTTAAAGAAAAAATCTGACCATAGTTGCCTGATCATGAGATTTTTTTAAATATACATTTTATGTTGTTCTCTTATTAACAAATTACTATACAACTTACTATATAACAAAATTATATAGAAAACATGTTTAAAAAATCAAAAAGTTAAAATTATAAAACTAGTTTATAAAAAACTAGAAACTTGAAGTAGCACTACAAAATACTTTTTCAGAGAAACACAAATTTACTATATAACAACTTATGCAAAAATAACATAAGTTATCTAATAATATAATAACTTATGTTAAAGAAACATACATATACAATTTTTGTTACTGTTTTATTTCATAATAATATTAAGTAAAATAGTAAAAGTGTTTGCTAAAAATGTTTTAAAACCTAAAATTTCAGACATGATGAATTTACTTTGACTAAATAAAAAGATTTAACAGGATCTGTTATCATTTAAATACATTTAAAGAGCGAGAACATTTTAGTGTACATTCATAATAAAGTTTTCTTGTTTCCTTAAGTATTTTTTAGAAAACACATTTTTTTTAAATTGCAAGTTCTCACTACACTTTCTAAATATTATTAGTGTGGTCTTCAAATAAAAAAAAATTTTTTTTAAATACTTTTTTAGTTTTTAGTCATTACTTTTTTTATCCACTTTTCAATGAAACTATATATAGTTAATATTTATTTTTACAATATGTAGTAATATAATATATAATAATTAGGTTTAATATACTACACTTTTTATTTTTTTTATTTTTTATTTTTTAAACATCTTTGCTTCCAACAAGGCTGCAAGCAACCACTAATTAGTGTTGGAAGTTACTGGAAGATATATATACTATAATGATATAAATTCATTTTTTAATGTTGTTTAAAGGGGTTGGTGCTGCTAGAGTACGAGATTTATTTTCTCAAGCTCGTAAAATGTCTCCATGTATTGTGTATGTTGATGAAATTGATGCAATTGGAAGAGCAAGAAGACCAGGGTATTTTTTAGAAATGTTTTTTTTTTTAATATTTTAGTGTAACCTACAATTATAATTCCTGTTTAGTAATGTTACATATTTTTGTATTTATTTATTTACACAAAGGTACTGTTCTTATCAATTAATTTGATGTTTCTTTTTAATATTAGATAAAAAAAAATTTTATATCTTTTATCTGTTGTATTTACTATTTCTCTTGGTTGAACTGAGCATCACTGGAGTCACCATTGAAGTTATGATCATATTGTAACATCATCATCATCATATAGCATTTACTACAAAATGACAGTTAACATCGATCTTTAGCAGTGTCTATATTAAGGGCAAATCAAATTTTCTTCCACCTCTCTTGCATGGTTCAGATTTTGTTACCTCACCTAAAGACAAAACTGAATTGTTTGCTGAGAACTTTTCATCATTCTCATCTCTTGATTCCACTAGTTGCATTCTACCTGATATAGCAGTCAAACAGGTTGATTGATTGCTTGACATTCGTATCACTCCAGCTTCTGTATCTAAAGTGATTTTCTGCTTAGACTGTTCTACAGCTTGTGGCCCGGACAACATACCTGTTATAGTCTTGCAGAAGTGTTCTCCGGAGCTGTCGTCTATCCTTTCAAAACTATTCAACAAGTGCTTATCAGAGTCTTGTTTTTCAGCCTGCTGGAAAGCAGCATCTGTTATCCCTATTTTTAAAAATTCTGGAGAACGATCTGATTTGTTTAACTACCGTCCCATTAGTCTTTTTCCTATCATAAGCAAGGTTTTTGAATATTTAATTAACAAACACTTAATATCTCATCTTGAATCTAATAACTAACTTTCTGATCATCAATATGGATTTCGATCTTCTCATTCTATGGCTGATTTGCTAACAGTAATAACCGATAGCTTTTATCGTGCATTATATAGATGTGGAGAGTTTAAGGCTATTTATCTTGACATTTCTAAAGCTTTTGATAAAGTTTTGCATTCTGGTCTTCTCCATAAGCTTTCTTCTTATGGTGTATCAGGTAACATCTTAAAGATTATTGAATTCTTCCTAACCAATTGTAGTATAAAAGTTGTCCTCGATGGATAGCACTCTTCTTCATATCCTATAAGTTCAAGGATTCTTCAAGGTTATATCCTTGGCCCTATACTTTTTTTAAGTAGCATTAACAATCTGCCAAAAATTCTTACAAGTGGCATTGTTCGAGTGATATTTAAGTTCGAAATATAATTTCTATTTCAGTTTTAATTCAGTTCTTATGGCATTGAGTTAATTTCTAATTCTAATTTTACTTATAAAATTATTCCTATTTCAGTTTTAAATCAGTTCTCTTAAAATTAATTTCAGTTCAGTTCTTTCAACATTTCAACAATTTAAAGAATTTCAAGTTTTCAACAAAGTTTTTTGTAACAAAAGATTAAATATATTGTTGGCGTAAGAGTTTGACTCTTACGTCAACGATACATTGAATATTTTGTTAAAAACATGGAAAACAATCCATAACAAATTGCACATGTTTGACCACCAACCTGGTCACGTGACCAGGTTAGTGGTCAGACATGTGCAACAACAATAAAGGAAGTGTAAATAAATTTTCAAAAAAATTTTTTTGTTAAATTTACTTTTGAATTTTTGTTCAGTAAGAATAAATAATTTAACTTCTATTTTCATTTCTGATGCTGATATTCAATTTTATTTCAGTTTTCGTTCTTCAAATAATTCCTAATTTCAATTTTTATTCACATTAACGAAATCAATTATTTTTACTTCTAGTTTTACTTAATTTTAACTTTAATATCATGCATTAATTTTTTTAATTAATTTTTTGTTTTGTTATGGAAGAAAAAAATTAATGATAAGATAAGAAGCCAACACTTTCTGATTGCTTGGAGGGGGCAATTGAGTTTGAAAAGGATCTTACTTCTGCTACAGCATGGGGCTCTCAGTGGATGGTGAACTTTAATTCAGATAAAAAAAATTTTCAGCTTATCTTTATTGCAATAATCTAGATATTCTTTATATTTATAAACGGTAGTGTACTCAATGAGTCATCTACCCTTCATTTTCTAAGATTAACTCTTACTTCCAATTATTTTTGAAAATATCAAATTTGTTGCAAAGTTTGCATCTGCTAAGGTTGCATCTCTTTATCTTACTTGACACTTCCTTACTTTTGGATTCTGTTCTTTATCTCTATAAATCTCTAATTTGTTCTTGTATGGAATACTACTGCCATATATGGATCCACTCCATATATGGCATAATTTAGATCATGCCTTTCCTCTTTTAGATAAGGTGCAAAAACGCATTGTAAATATTGTTGGACCTCCACTTGCAGCAAAGTCACATCGTCATAATGTTGCTTCTCTTTCTCTTTTTTATAAATACTATAATGGGCCCTGCTCTAAAGAGCTAGTGTCTATTGTCCCATTTACTAAAATTCATTCTTGAGTTACTCGTCATTCAATCATGTCTCTTTTTTACTGTGACTGTTCCAAAGTGCTCCGAAATTTCTTTTTTCGTCTAGTTTTTTTTCTCAAACATTTCAGTTGTTTGGAATTTGCTCTTTTCATCTTGTTAGAGTAAATTTAAAGAAGATTTTAATTTTTCTTTCTTTTAAATGGAACAAATTCAAAAAAATAAAACCCTTCTTAAAATGACTTTTCACAAACAATGTTTACTATTGAAGTCAACAATGCAACATTGCAACTTCTTACTTTATTCTGAATGATGATTGGGCCTTTCTTACCTTTGCAAATGTATCTGAAAGTTGTGATGCATTGGTTCTGTTGCCTGTTCTGAGTAAAGCCTAAGAGCTTGACCATGTCTGTCAATGAAATCTTTTACATGGAAAAATACTGCATGGACCTTGGGTGTTACAAACACATTTTGCAATGTCAGATAAGACACTCTTCATCTTTTCTCTTCCAGTAACTTCCAACTCTAATAGTGGTTGCTTGCAGCCTTGTTGGAAGCAAAAATTGCTGAAAAAACAAAAATCATGCACTTTACTTTTTGAAATCTTTTTTTCTCACTGGATTTTATATCCAATTTTATTCATTTAGAGCGCAAACTTATTTTTTACAAAATATTAATTTTCTGGATTTCTAGGGAATTTATCATTATCATATATAATTATTTATATATGCTATATATATAATATATACAAAATATGTATATTTTTATATGCCTGTCACTATATCCACTTTTTTCTAAAAATTATTAATGTTGCATAAATTTGGGAGAGATTGTGTTGTAAATTTTTATTTTCATAAACAATAAGTTTTGTGTTCAATCTCCCTGACACCCCTGCTCAACTAGTACTGTGCTTAACTTATTTTTTTACACACAGTGGCCAACATTTATGTTTTGGAGTTAAAGAGTTGAGAGAGAGTTGAAACACAGTTTTGAAAAAGAAAATGAGTGTTCTAGACACCACTCAACCTGTTTCTCTGGCCAGCTTAAGGTTAAAAAGCACATTATTCAAGAAGGTTTTTTTTTCAGAGTTTAGTTTTGACAGAGAATTCATTAGAATAAATCAAATAAAATTGGAGAAAGAGAAGAAAAAAAATGATTAGCCTCCCTGGCTGTAGTAGCCCTAGTCCCCTCCCCTTTTTTTTTATTTTCCTTCTATTAATGAAAAACACATCAAGTTTTTTTTTTTTTTTTTTTTTTTTTTTTTTAACATCTTCACTTCCAACAAGGCTGCAAGCAACCACTATAAGAGTTGGAAGTTACTGGAAGAGAAAAGACTAAATCTGTAGAGCAAGATAACGATTGACTGATGACTTAAAAGATTGCAAATTATATGAATCAGGAAAGCAAGATGAAGGAAGCGAATTCCAAAGAACTGATGTTCGAGGAAAAAAACTAGAAGAATAAGAGTTTTTGAAGCACTTAGGAACAGTCACAGAAAAAGGATGAGACTTAATTGAATGGCGAGTAACACGAGAATGAATTTTAGTAGATGGCACAAGGGACGCTAGCTCCTTAGAGCAGTGCCCATTATAGTATTTGTAGAAAAGAGAAAGAGAAGCAACATTACGACGATGTGACAAAGGTTGGAGATTGGCTGCCAGAGCAGGTCCAACTATGTTTACAATTCGTTTTTGCACCTTGTCTAAAAGAGAAAGAGCATCACTAGAAGATCCGCCCCAGATGTGGCAACAGTATTCCATACAGGGACGGATTTGAGATTTATAGAGATAGAGAATAGAATCTGGAGTAAGAAAGTGTCGAGCTCGATAAAGAGATGCAACCTTAGCAGATGCTAATTTTGCAATGGATTTGATATACGGTTTAAAAGAAAGATCAGAAGTAAGAGTTAATCCTAGAAGATGAATGGTAGATGACTCATCTAGTACATTACCATTCATAAATATAGGAAGATCTAAATTATTACGATAACGATTGGCCGAATAAAATTGAGTTTTATCTGAATTAAAGTTCACCAGCCACTGTGAGCCCCATGCTGTAGCAGAAGTGAGATCCTTTTCAAGCTCAGATACCCCTCCAAGCAATCAGAGAGTGTAGGCTTCTTATCATGACAAGAGTAAATGGTAGTGTCGTCAGCGAATAATGCCACCTTAGATGTGAGAATATCTGGAAGATCGTTAATGTAAATTAAAAAGAGTATAGGGCCAAGGATTGAACCTTGAGGAACCCCTGAAGTTACAGGATGTGAAGAAGAGTGTTGTCCATCGAGGACAACTTTTATACTACGATTGGAAAGAAAGGACTCAATAATCTTAAAGACGTTACCAGCTACACCATAAAAAGAAAGCTTATGGAGAAGACCAACATGCCAAACTTTATCAAAAGCTTTAGAAATGTCAAGTGCGATAGCCTTAACCTCTCCACCTCTATCTAATGCACGGTAAAACCTATCGGTTATTACTGTTAGCACATCAGCTGTAGAACGAGAAGACCGAAATCCATATTGATGATCAGAAAGTAAGTTATTTGATTCAAGATGAGAGATTAAGTGTTTGTTGATTAAAGATTCAAAAACCTTGCTTATGACAGGAAGAAGACTAATGGGACGGTAGTTAGATGAATCAGATCGCTCTCCGGAATTTTTGAAAATAGGGATAACAGATGCTGCTTTCCAGCATGATGGAAAACAAGACTCTGATAAGCACTTGTTAAATAGTTTAGAAAGTATGGATGAAAGCTCCGGAGAACACTTCTGCAAGACTACAACAGGAATGTTGTCAGGACCACAAGCTGTTGAAGAGTCTAAGCAGGAAATTACTTTAGATACAGAAGCTGAAGTAATGCGAATGTCAAGCAAGGGATCAACCTGTTTGACGGCTATGTCAGGTAAAACGCAACTAGTGGAATCAAGAGATGATATTGATGAAAAGTTCTTAGCAAACAATTCAGCTTTGTCTTTAGGTGAGGTGACAAAGTCTGAACCATACAAGAGAGAAGGAATAACAGATTTGCCCTTATTATTGATACTGTTAAAGATTCTCCAGAAGTCTCGAGAGCCTAATTTTTGTGATGAGATACGAGATTTAATGACCTGGGAATAGCGAGCTTTGGCGTCAGACAAAACCTTTTTACAATGGTTTCTGGCGATAGTGAACAGATGTCTGTTTTCTGGAGAATTGTTTTGCTGATAGATATGGAAGTAACAGTTTCGATTAGAAATTGCTGCAGCGCAATGTGAGGAAAACCAAGGAGAAGAGTGAGGCTTGACCTGGAATCGTCGAGAGGGAATAAAAGATTCCATGCCAGCCTGAATCCACGAAGTTATGTAAGAAGCACATTTGTCAGCAGGAAGACGAAAGATTTCTACCCAAGGGCCATCACGAAGAAAATCACGGAAAGAGTCCCAGTCAGCTTTAAGGTAGTGGTATGTGGTACGATGATAGGGGGATTCTGATGAAGTAGAAGAATTTGGTAATAGTTTTAGAGAGATCAAACCGTGATCAGAAGTACCTAAGGGTGAATGTGGAGAAATTGAGCACTGACTAGGATCCAAAACAAGACATAAGTCGAGTAGAGAAGGTAAATGATTAGGGTTGTCTGGAAAACGAGTTGGAAAGTTGACTATTTGAGTTAGAGATTGAGAAAGGCAAAAGTTGAGGGCCTTAACCCCAGCAGAGTCACTGACACTAGAGCCAAGCCAATCGGTGTGATGGGCATTAAAGTCACCAACAACGATGATATTGGCCGATGGATAGAGAGAGAGGGCTTGGTCAATTTGATCAGAAATAACATCAAGAATAGTGCAATCTTGGGATGAAGGAGAGCGATATAGAACAAAGAGAAAGGCGATAGAGTGAAGTTGTGCTAAACGAAAGCACATAAATGAATAGTCTGTAGATTCAAACCTAGTTTCACAACAAATGGGTGAGTTCTTACGAATGTAGATGCCCAGGCCAAGCATGTGATTATTGGAGTCTTTACGAATTAAAGGAAGATAACCATCAACACTAAGATCACAAGATGGGACAGCCGAACTCAAATTAGTCTCACAAAGAGCAAGTAGGTCTGGTGAACTTTGCAAGAGATAAGACTCAACAGAAGAAAAGTTACTTCGAAGACCACGAATATTAGTAAATGATAGGTTTAGAGAACTTGGTGATGACGATGGTTTTTTGTGTTTTTTAGTTTTAGGTACTTTAGTCATTTTAAATTTATAAAGAACTTGACTCAAGTATAGATAGTACTCAGTACACTATTTAACAACTAAGCAATAGCCTCATTACTATTAATAAACCCTAAGCCGTAACAAAGGGCTCCAAATGTGGCCTCTGCAATGCACACCAAAAGTACGAACAGGGACACCATCCATGCGCAACATGGCACTGTTAGTACTCTGATATTTTTCGGCTGTTGATGGAATCAGCCTCTCTGAGAGCTACCACAGAGTTCGGGAAACCTGACTACCAGCCGGCCTCAGAACCATAAAACTGAGTTTTAGAGCTGTACCCTCATTAGGAGATAATAGAATGAGTTGCCCAGTCATAAAAATAGAGACACAAGCAATACCCACGCATTGAGTCAAGAAGATCCAGCGTTCAACATCCTAAACTGGAAACAATGTATTAAAAATACATCTGCGCCAGCCTAATAGATGAGGTATTTTTTTTGTTTGTTTTTTTTCTTAACAACAGGCATTCCCTTGCATCTTTGATTTATATTAGTATTAATATTCCTTCTTTCTGGGAAAATAATCTTATTAATAACAAAAAATAAAACTAAAAAAACATTAAAATCCATATTTGTACATATTTTATGCAAAGAAAATCAACAGTAAGTTTAGTTTAGGTAAGTTTTAGCGAAGCATTTTTGGGAGAAGTTTGAAAAAGAATCAGATACATCACTTTAGAAATAAAAAAGAAGTAGAAAGCTAGAATAGCTACAAAAGAGTTCAACTGTTCAACCACAAAATCATTGGGAAAAGTTAAAGAGATTAAAAAAGCTATAAATATTATGCTATAAACAAACAAAGATTGCAAAACTTTTGTACAATGATTTGTGGTTTATTAAAGTTTTACGTAAAAAATAGATAGTGGCAAATAGACTTGACCTTGGAAGGCCAAATAGACTTAGCCAGATATTTTGGCAGAGTTATATGACTTTTTTTACTATAATATAATAATAGTGATATTTGATGTTTTTATAGACAAGGTGGCAACAGTGAACAAGAAAGTACCTTGAATCAACTACTTGTTGAAATGGATGGTATAAACAGTGGAGAAGGAGTGGTTATGTTAGCCTCAACAAATAGACCTGATATTCTTGATCAGGTTTAGTTTATTTACTTTAAACAAAAAAAATTATTTTTTGTTAAGAATTATATTTTTATGTGTTAATAGAGCATATTTAGCATTTATCTTACAGGCTTTGATGCGTCCTGGTCGCTTTGATCGAACCATTACAATTGATTTACCTACACTTGTTGAGCGTAAAGACATTTTTGAAATCTATTTAAGTGATTTAAAGTTAGGGAGTTCATTAACTAAATACTCTGAGAGATTAGCAGAACTCACCCCTGGAAAAAGCGGCAAGTATTGTTGTTTTTTTTGTTTTGTTTTATGTTTTGTTATTTTACCATTTTTAATTGCACTTGTTATACTTAATTTTTTTTTTTTAATTATTTACCTCTCCATGGCTAAGAAGGCCACAACAGTCGATTAGGCTACTCTTGTGGTTACAACCCTCTCTCTGAGCACGGTACTACCAGGGGCGTGGTGGGGATTGAACTCGGAACTTTTCATTTATGAGGCGATCGCCACTACACCACTACCGCTTAATGATAGTTAAATCATGTGATTAATTTGTTATAATTATGATTATAATTAAGATAATTTATATAATTATTATGGTACTATAACTCTGCTTGTTATATTTTTTTATAAATTATAAATTTATAAAAAGTAATTTATATCTAATAATTATATTGATCTAAGATGTAAATTAAACTTAAATATTTATGAAATTATGTTTGTATGAAATTTTCAGTAACTTTTATAGTTACTGAAAATTTCATATAAACATTTTATTTTTGCCTTGTAAATATATACAATCCGTAAGTTACTAACAAGGCGAAAAGAAGACTAATATGTCTAATCGCCAAGCTCCTCGATAAATTTCATAAATATAATGTTTAATTTTTAAATAAGCAGTTCTGTTAATTATATAAAATAAACAAATGTAAAAGTGGTAAAATGATAAATAAAACCAGGGTTAATAGGTTAAACCAAATGGTTTAAACCATTTGGTTTAACATATGAAAAAATATCAGTTTAAACCAGATTTACATTTTTTAAACAACCTTAAATTTTCAGCAGGAAAGTAAACCAGGATTATGTTTACAAATAAAATTATATCTTTCATATAAATATTTAATGTGAATGCACTTATTTAAATTATTTATAATAAAGATGCTTCTGGAAATTAATTTCTTATATATATTAAATTTTCAGTGTGTTATTTATTTGCCAATGCCTATATATTTTTAAAATGCGGCAAAAGTTCATTGTGATATATATATATATATATATATATATATATATATATATATATATATATATATATATATATGCACATTTATATACAAAGCCAGATTTAGGTTCTTGGGAGCTGGGTGCAAAAAATATTGACATAAGGGAGGAGAGTATGTTCTTGTGGTAGCTTCTCCTTTCCCTCCCAGTTTAAACTGGTGCCTTTAAATATCACTTTGTTTGGGTTTACTTTTAGTTTTATTAATTTATAATGAGTATTTCAAATAGTCTTTTGTTGTAAAAGGCATTTTATATGCTGCTTTAGTTACGCTAAAAAAAACTATTTTATTTAAGATTTTAGTAAATGTTCAAGTTGTAAATATTTTCTCATTTACAAATATATATTTAAAATTCTTTAAAGTATTTTAAACATTTAGTAAATATATTTTAGTATTTTTAATTTTAATAATTATTTTAATTATTAAATATTTATTAAATACTTATTAAATAATTTTTAATAATTAATTACAAATAGAGTCGTATTTGCTAAAATAAAGTTATATATAGATACATATAATATGTTATATACAGTATAACATATTATATGTATCTGTATATAATATAATATATATCTATATATAATATAATATTTTATGTATACATTTATATACTTATTATATTATATACTTATGTAGTTATATAATATACTTGGTAGATACATATACAGTACAAACTCTAGCTTTAGAACAGTTGAACATAAAGATTTTTTAAAAATTAATCAATATGCTTCATCCTAGTTACACTCTAAGTAATAGAATTCAAATTGGAGAAGCATTATTAGATAAAGTTTGAAGAAATTGAAAAAAGTAATGTATTGAGTGGGAAGATTGTAGCGATGAATTTAGATGGGAGGAGTAATGTGCATAACGAACCAATAGTTTGTGCCTCTGTAATTGCAGATAATATTAACATTTTAGTAGAAACCATTATTACTTCTGGTCATTCCCATACTGGTGAATATCCAACACAATTGGCAAGAGAAGAAATAGAAACTGTAAAACACATAAATTTTGATGCACAGTAAAAGGTTTTGTGGCTGACAATGCAGCCAAAATGAAATCAATGCAACAAGTATTGTTATCTGAAGGAGATATAATAATTACTTATGGGTGTGCTGCTAATATGCTAAATCTTTTAGCAAATGATCTTAATATTGAAAATGTGAGCAAGCATGTTACACAAGATAATGAAATATATGCAAAATAATTATCAAGCATCAAATGTAGAAACAAAATTACCTCTTTTTACTGAAACACACTGGAATTTGATATGTGGTTCAGTTGAAAAAAATGTCAATAACTAGAGCATCATTTTTAAAATATTTGGAAAAAATTTTCTATCAATCATGGGATCCAATCCCATGATTGATAGAAAAGTAAGTGACAGATAAAGCGAGATGCAGAATATTATTTGTAAATATTTAAACCAATTAGATAAGTTGCAAAGAGATTAAAAAATATATATGTGACACTGTTGAAATTTTTCAAGAGCTGATATCATTTTTATCAACTTAAAAAAAAAAGTATTAGAAGCAAAATATCTTCAGACTGTCAGTGATGCCCATTTCCTTGCAAATACACTAGATTATATATATTTAGAATCTAATCTTTCAGAAAATAAAAATAGAGCTGCAATGACATTCACAGATAGAGAAATTAAGAACTTGTTACCAATAATATTCAAGATTCAGATTACCAATATTATTCAAAGCCAATTCTGCTCCATTCAACAAAATAATAATAGTTCTGCTCCATTCAATAAAATAATAATAATTCTGCTCCATTCAATAAAATAATAATAATTCTGCTCCATTTAATAAAATAATAATAATTCTGCTCTATTCAATAAAATAATAATAATTCTGTTCCACTCAATAAAATAATAATGATTCTGCTCCATTCAATAAAATAATAATAATTCTGCTCCATTCAATAAAATAATAATAATTCTGCTCCATTCAATAAAATAATAATAATTCTGCTCTATTCAATAAAATAATAATAATTCTGCTCCATTCAATAAAACCAATGTTACTGTGAATCTGTTTTAAAAATGTAAAAAAATGGTTGAAATCTCTAAAATCTCTGCATCATTATCATGGATATTGAAGCTTTGTTAAACGCACCTGCTTTTAGTGATGGAATTGAAAGAATTTTTTCAACTTTTGAGCTTGTTCATTCAATAATGATGTAGTGGTTGATGAATTACAGCAGTAATGTTAATAGAAAATATAATTTACTCAAGCAAAATAAGTTTTTTGCTTTTCTTTAATTAAAACTTGACTAAACACGGCATTTGAAAAAGAAGGAGTTTAATTCAAAAAAAACATGTTTTTTTGGTTTATTTATAAAAACCCATGGTTTTTGTTTTTTTTTCAAAATAAATTTTTTTTGCAACCCTAAATAAAGCATCTATTATTAAAAAACAGCAAGAAGTGTTATTGGCTTAAACATATTCTTCTAAAAGCACAAAAATATTAATTTAGTTTTCTATAAAACAATTTTTGCATTAAAACTTTGTTAAACTTTTGTTTACTATTTGTTAAACTATTTGTTAAAGTTTTGTTAAATATGTATTGTTAAATAATATATTGTTAAACAATCAAAATTCTTGTTTAAAAATATTGTTAATTATATTGTTAATTATGTTATTCTTAAAAATATTTAAAATATTGTTAAAAAATGTAAATTCTTGATGCCATTTTTATATTTTTGAGTAATATTTGTTTTTTTTTTAATTTATTGCAGACATTTATAACTATTAAGAGTTTCCAATTTGTTTTTGTTAAAAACTGTTTTGTTTTTTAAAACTTTTGAATTTTGTAGGAGCTGATATAGCAAACATTTGTAATGAGGCTGCGTTGCATGCAGCTCGGTTAAATGAAAAATGTGTGGACTCTGCAAACTTTGAGTATGCTGTTGAACGTGTAATTGCAGGTTCTTTTCACTTTTTTTTTAGTTTATAATTATTAACAAATATTTTTTTTAATTAAGGAAGTTTAATCGTTACATAAATAAAATTTAAATATCGTTATTGATTCTGTTTACAATTTATTTTTATTTATTATTTAATGTATTTTTTTTGTTAAAATATTAAAATAAATGTTTTCATTTGTTGTTGTTACAATAAATGATGTATAAATATTAAGAAATTGTGTAAGAAGTAAAAAAAAAAATATATTTATAACATTATTTTTTTACATCTGTTCACTTATCCAGGGTAAAGAAGGCCACAACAGTTAATGTGACTACTCATTTTGTTTTTAAATTTTTAACCCAATAACTCTAAATAACAAACTTTGATTAAAATAATAAATTTGTTTTTCCTGACTTAAAAAAGGCCTATTTCAATGACTTTCCATATTAATGTTATGAATTTATATAAATATATTTATATAAATTTATATAAATATATTATTAGAAGTTTGTATAAATACATTTATATGAACTTATGTAAATACATTTACATGAATTTATTTAAAAATACTTATATGAATTTATATAAATAAATTTATAGTTTTATAACACGTTCTATGCCTTATTCTCTACCATAGAAGTTATTGTCTATTAAAAAGTTTTTTGTCTATCAAGTTTTTTTTTTTTTTTTTTTTTTTATGAAGGTACATAAATAATACATTAGGGTGGTCCTTAAAACAACTTTTTTGAGAAAAACCTGCTGGCACCCCCTAAATGTGTTTTATCTAATACAAAAACACTAGGTTTAAAATTTTTTTGAACAAAAATTATTTTTAGGGGTAGCTCAAGGCCCTCAAAAATTTGACGGGTCCCTAATATTTTGAAAAAAAAACTTTTTCTAAAGTATGTCAACCTGGTACTCAAAATAAGCAAAATTATATAAAAAATTTAAAAATGAAAATAATTTTTTATAAAAATAATTTTTTCAGGTATAAATGCATAAAAACTATTGTTTTTAAGCTGAAAATAAAAAAAGTCAATATTTTCAGGTTTTTTAAGAATAATTTTTTTTAGGCATGTTTTTTATGTAAAATGCTTATTATTTTTGAAGTTTTTATACAATATCGCTTCTTTTGAGTACCAGGTTGACATACTTTAGAAAAAGTTTTTTTTTCAAAATATTAGGGACCCGTCAAATTTTTGAGGGCCTTGAGCTACCCCTAAAAATAATTTTTGTTCAAAAAAATTTTAAACCTAGTGTTTTTGTATTAGATAAAACACATTTAGGGGGTGCCAGCAGGTTTTTCTCAAAAAAGTTGTTTTAAGGACCACCCTAATAATACATGTATGTATTTAAATGATAAATGTATATAGTTCAGGAACCACAGTTTTCACAGGTTCAATATAGCTATTTTCCAGGCGTGGTGTGAACTCCAAACATTTATATTTTAATACTAGGCTTGAATGAGGATTATTTACTAAATATTAATTTAATTGGAGCTTTGGAACAAAACAATTATGTTTAAAATACAATACCCTCTCTCAAAGGGTTAGGAAACACCATAATTTAGGCTCTTCGTATCTCTAAGCTTCAATTACCATAATTTTTTGTAACACATTCTCATTTGACATTTTTATTAAAATAGAAATAAAAACTGTGGCTCTGGTTCTGTATTTAAACATATGTGGTAGTGGTGTAGTGGTAGAGCACTCGCTTCATAAGTGAGAGGTTTGGAGTTCGATTTCCATCATGTCCCTGGTAGTACCACGCTCAAGTTGTTTCTCCGAGCAGCGGCCTTGTTCATCATGGTTCGTGTTTCAGAGTTATAGAGTTGAGAGAAGGTTATAACCACAAATAGCCTCCTCATCTGTAGTAGCCTTCTCGGTCTTGGAGAGGTGAATTACAAAAAAAAAAAAAAAAAAAATGATACATGACAATAAATGGAATATTTTTATTGGTTGCAAAACCTTGATAAAAAATGTTGAATTTTTAATTCGTTCTAAGCAAACAGGTGTTGAAGCACTTCTATTTTGATAAGTAATAATTTTAAAAAAACTGAATACATTTAGTTGATACATTTTTGTGTTTTTAATGCTCTTGGGTACCTGGTTTGTCCAGGTTGAACAAAGGGCTCTTTGTGTCAACCTTTAAAAGTCAATAAAATGTTAAAATTATTACACCTTAAACCTAATTAAAAAGCGAGTATTGGATCAAATGTTTAAATTTTCTAACTTTTTAATTTAAGTTAAAATTTTTAACTGTTTTTTTTTAAGGGATTCCCAAATGCCAAGGCAAGCTAGGTTTTTTTTTGTTTTTTTTGTTTGTTTTTTTGTAAAAAAAAAATATTAGAAAGTAAATTTTGAGTTAATTATTTATTGAGATATTAACAAAAAATTTTTGTTTTTTTGCCATTATATTTCCAGGTTAAGAGGTTAAATATTAACATGAATCTGCATAGTTTTTTAGTTGTAAAAATATCCGGTTTGAATAATAAATATACTTACTGCAGAGTTTTTTAAACAATTTACATAAATAAACAATTAGATTGGGTTTTCCCCTTTTAAAAAAAAAATGTTTCTAGCATCAGTTCAACTGGAGACTTTAGACAAAATAAAAGTTGTAATTAAACAAAGAATACCACTTTTCTAACATTGTTTTATTTTTTATTTCCATTTAAATATTTTGTCTTTATTTACCGTGAAATCAAATTTATTTGCATTATTTCATATTTAATCCAAAAAATAAAAAATAAATAAAAAAGACCTTTTGATTTTAAAATTTTATTAGCAGAACTTGTTCTTAACAAAGACTAGTATAATTTTTAAATTTACATATCTTATATTTATAGCACTAATATTAGTTTTATTTTTAAAATAAAATAAATACAAGTTAGCCTTTTAAAGCATTTACTTATTTATCATGTTATTTTTATTCAGTTATTATACATTTTATAAAATGTTGTATACAAAAGGATCTTCTTCTTAAAAATCAATTACAATAGGGAAAACCCAAACATAATGTTTGTAACTCGAGTTCAAGTTATTTGAAATAACTTTTTTGTATTTATGTCATTTATTAACTACCAAAGTCCATTGAACAGACCAGTATTTTAGAACTTACCTTCAAGAAAAAATAAAATGGCATCAAAAATTATAAAGTTTTTTGCTAATATCTCAATAAATAATTTGTTCTGAAAAGTTTAATTAACATGAAACTTATTTTTTAAGGATTATTTATGATATGAACACAACTTGACTTGGCACTTGGTTATCACTTTAACTAAAGTAAAAAAAATTGTGAAATAATCATAGATAACAGAATACATAATGATTTTCAATTGATTAGGACATCAAGGCAGAGTTTTAAACTGAGGTCTGAGACTAAGCACATTCTAGCAGGGACACTTGCAGCTTATATAAGCTCAATCTAGGAGGGTGCACTAAATTAGAAGGCAGATTACAACTATTTATAACAATATGCATTTTTCTTTAGGCATTCAAAAGCGTACAAATACAATGAGTGATATAGAAAGACGTATAGTTGCATATCATGAAGCTGGTCATGCTATTGTCAATTGGATGTTAAAATACACTGAACCTGTGCTTAAGGTTTTAAGAATTGAAGCGTTCTTTTATTCTTTTGCTTTTATAAAAATAAAGTACAAAAAATATAATAATACATTTAACAAAATAAGAAAAATATTTGATGTACATAATAAATTTTTGAATAAAAATGGTGCTTGTTTGTTTTCACGGTTTGACTGAATTTTTTTTATCGTTTTAAAAATTTTATGTTTAGATATCAATTATACCTCGAACGTCTTCTCCTTTTGGATACACGCAAAAGTTTCCACTTGACATTAAACTTCATACTAATGAACAGGTTTGAGTAAATACTCATTATCTTTATTTAGGTTTGAAATATTTTTTGATTTAAAATCAAATAAAATATTCTTATATTTTATAGCTTTTTTAAGTATTTTAAAAAAACACATGATATTCTTTAATTGTAACATGTTTTGTTATTATGGTGTTAATTGTAATATGTTCCATTGTTAAGATGTTAATTCTAAGATGTTTCATTGTTACAGTGTTAATCATAAGGTATTTCATAGTTACGATGTTAATCATAACATGTTTTGTTGTTACAATATTAATAATAACATGTTCTGTTGTTAATTATAAATTGTTTATCTTTACATTAGTATTAAAATTATATATATATATATATATATATATATTGGTATCTTTACTAAAGACAATTAATTATAATGTAATTAATAATATGTCTTAGGAAACTTAAACAGCACAAATATTTTTAAAAGTTTACAGTTCAGATCAGGGTTATTCCTTTGGATGGGTGCTCAGCAAAAATATAACTAATAACATAAAATTAACTGATATTCCAAAAATATCTCAAAAAACTGGGCGCAAGAATGATATGATTTGGTTAAAATATAAAGGGCTGTAGAGCAGTTTGTAATGCATGCAGAATAAAAATGGAAGGTCAAGTTCAAAGGATGCATGAACATCTAGAGAAATGTAAACAATCACAGCCCTTTAAATTATTGAGTCAATAGAAGATCAACAACCTTTGGAAAGTAATTAATTAAATTACTACATATTAATTATAAATTATTTCATTTTTTGTAAAATTTAAACTTTTAGATTGATAATTTGAAAATATATGTGTTTGTATTACTTCAAATTAATTACTCTATTGTATCCATGTATTAATTTAAATTTAATATATTTCATGTTCATATTCAGGTAATTCATCATCAACATCACACAAAAAAAAAAAAAAAATGAAAAGGTCTCAGTCCACTTCAACTTCAGTTAGTAAATGTTTGAAAGTAGATAAGTTTTTTACTCAAACAAGCAACAAAGAGAAAAATTTGTTTAATCTGTAACTTGGTAGATTCATATATAATACAAACTCTAGCTTTAGAACAGTTGAACATAAAGAGTTTATCAATATACTTCATCCTGGTTATACTCTACCTAATAGAACTCAAATTGGAGGAACACTATTTGATAAGGTTCACACAGAAGAAATTGAAAAAAGTATTGAATGGGAAAACTGTTGCAATGACTTTAGATGGAGTAATGTGCATAACAAACCAATAATTTGTGTCTCTGTAATTGCAGATAATATAAACATTTTAGTAGAAACAATTAAAATCTCTAGTTATTCCCATAGTGGTGAATATCTTACACAAAGAGAAGCAATAGAATCTGTAACACATAAATTTGGATATAAAAGCTTTATGACTGGTAAAGCAGCTTATATGAAATTGATGCGACAAGTATTGTCACCTAAAGGAGATGTAATAATAACTTATGGGTGTGCTGCTCATATGTTAAATCTTTTAGCAAATGATCTTGACATTAAAAATGTGAGCAAGCATGCTACACAGATAATAAAATATATACGAAATAATCATCAAGCTGGAGCAAATTATAGAGAAAGTGGAGAAACAAAATTACCACTTCCTACTAAAACTCACCTGAATTCTGGATGTGATTCACTTGGAAAATATGTCAATAACTTGCATTTAAGTTTTAAACTGCAGCAAGTTAGTGAACTTGTTTTTTTGTAATTTGCAGTTCATCAACTCCGATGATTTACAAATGAATTCAAATCAGGTGAGCAAGCAGGTCGAAGCACCAGATTCAATGTTTTTTCCTCCTTGTATTGAGCATGCTGTGTAGCTAGGAGGGTTATCTTTTTGAAATTGCTATGTGAAGTCAGCTTCGGGAACATCCATTAAAGGCTGTAAATATCTCTCTGTATTGATATAGATTGTGCTGATTGATGTAAAGATTTCGCCAGGCTAGGGTGATGCAACCCCATATGCTAATTGAGCCTCCTTTTCCTTGAAGTCTTCGCATGATAAAATGAGGATTGTATTTTTAGTTTTTGTTGCCTTACTAAATCCTCTTCTTGTGATTGAAAAGTTTGACTTGTTCTAGAAAATTACTTTCTTACTTTTCTTTTTCGTTGCTCTACTGTCCATGCAGCTATTTCTTTGCACCATTTTCTTATTTTGAGACAGTCTGTAATGCTTAGTCATAGCTTTTTTGTTGAAAGGTGTCAATTTTGTTATTTTTTCTTCCTCAGCTTTCTAATTGTTGATTGGCAAACTTGGTGTGTATCCATTGTTGTATTCAGATCTGAGGCAATTTTGGCTATGCTCATGTTTGGGTTGTTTTTTTATTTTGTTTGTTTTTTTTTGTTTATTTTTTTTAAATATTTTTCCTTCCAACAAGACTGCAAGTAACCACTAATTAGAGTTGGAAGTTACTGGAAGAGAAAAGATTGTAGAACAAGATAACAATTGGCAGACAACTTAAAAGATTGTAAATTATATGAATCAGGAAAGCAAGATAAAGGAAGTGAATTCCAAAGAACTGAAGTTGGAGGAAAAAAAAAGATGAGGAATAAGAGTTTTTGGAGCACTTAGGAACAGTCACAGAAAAAGGATCAGACTTAATTGAATGACGAGTAACACGAGAATGCATTTTAGTAGATGGCACAAGAAACATTATCTCTTTAGAGCAGTGCCTATTATAGTATTTGTAGAAAAGAGAAAGAGAAGCAACATTACAACAATGTGATAATGGTTGAAGGTTGGCTGCATGAGCAGGTCCAACTATGTTTACAATGCATTTTTGCACGTTGTCTAAAAGAGAAAGGGCATGATTAGATGATTCGCCCCAGATATGGCAACAGTATTCCATACAAGGCCAGATTTGAGATTTATAGAGGTAGAGAATAGAATCCAGAGTAAGAAAGCGTTGAGCTCAATAAAGAGATGTAACTTTAGCAGATGCTAATTTTGCAACTGATTTGATATGTGATTTCCAAGAAAGATCGGACGTAAGAGTTAATCCTAGAAGATGAATGGCAGATGACTCATCGATTACATTACTGTTCATAAAATATAGGAAGGATTAAATTATTGCGATAACGAAAAATTGAGTTTTATCTGGATTAAAGTTCACCATCCTCTGTGAGCCCCATGCTGTAGCAGAAGTGAGATCCTTTTTAAGCTCAAATGCCTCCTCCAAGCAATCAGAGAGTGTTAGCTTCTTATCATGACAAGAATAAATGGTATCACTGATGATACATCAGCAAACAATGCCACCTTAGATGTGAGAATATCTGGAAGATCATTATTAATCAGTGAGAGGAATTAACAAAAATCAATCAAAAAGAATACAAGAAATTATTTCTCAAATAAAAAAATATCCTACTAAATGAATGCGCTAATACTTTTTAAATTTTCAATCATTTTTCAGAGTAGTTATTTAACTTATAATTAACTCATCAAAAAAATAAAAATCAAGTTGACAAATTATTAACATTAAAACTATTGTATTGTATCTTAACTTTTATATAAAATAAAATTAATTCAAAATTAAAATTTAGATTTATAGTTGTTAAAGATAAAAAAAAATTAGGAGTGCGCTAGTATTTTCTAGAAGCACTGTACATGTATGTTTGTGTATATATATATATATATATATATATATATATATATATATATATATATATATATATATATGCTATAAAAGTAGGAAAAACTAGTAACAATTTGTTATCTATATACACTATGGTATGTATGTATATTAGTGTCGAGACCCTTGCATGGTTGAAAAATAGTTTTTTTCTATATACTGTTGTTGATATAGTACTGCTGTTTCCATATTGTTTTAAATTTACCATTAATAATTCAGTCTGGAAAAAATTTAAAAACTTAAAAAAAGTTTCTTTGAATCAATCGATGACTTTTTTTTTTTTTTTTGTTAATCGTGGTACAACCCTCTCTCAACTCTTTAACTCCGAAACATGAACCTTGACAAGCAAGGCTGCTGCGCGGAAAAATTAAGTTGAGCACGGTACTTCCAGGGATGTGGTAGGAGTCGAACTCCGAACCTCTCGCTTACAAAGCGAGCGCTTTTACCACTACACCACTACTACTTGCCCAAACCAAAACCCTCAGTCAATGTATGTACACTCCTTGCATATTTTGTCTGTTAAAGTCAGTTGATGCATGTACACTCCTGTTAATTAAACAAAAATAAAGAAGAAATATTAAAAACTGTATAAAATAATATTAAAAAAAAGTTAAAAAAAACTTTCTGTATGTATGTATGTGTATGTATGTATTTATGTATGTATGTATGTATGTATGTATGTATGTATGTATGTATGTATGTATGTATGTATGTATGTATGTATGTATGTATGTATGTATGTATGTATGTATGTATGTATGTATGTATGTATGTATGTATGCATGCATGCATGTATGTATGTATGTATGTATGTATGTATGTATGTATGTATGTATGTATGTATGTATGTATGTATGTATGTATGTATGTATGTATGTATGTATGTATGTATGTATGTATGTATGTATGTATGTATGTATGTATGTTTGTATGTATATATGTATGTATATGTGCACATAATTTAAATATTATTATTTTAATATGTTTGTTTATAGGTTATATTAAAAATTTTTTATATGAATTAAGCTTATAGTGTTTTTTTTTTTTGCCAAGCATGTAAAAAATTAAACTGCATTCTATTTATTTTTTTAACATATTTTTTATATGAAGTAAACTTATTGTATATGTCTACAAATTTATTAATTTTTCAATTTATATTAATTTTTCAATTTATATTTTAACAATTTGCTCTGTTTTTTACTTATCTTTAGTTATTTGACATGATGTGTGGACATTTAGGTGGAAGGGCTGCAGAGGCAATTACTTTTGGGCGCATAACAACTGGTAATCATTTATGAACTTGAATATTTTTATAGTTACTATTTTGTATATATTTTATTTATAATTACTATTTTGTATATATTTTATTGTATATTATTACTACAGTACATAAGATCATGCTAATGTATAAAATTGGAAAAATAATAGATAGGAAACTAAGTGTTTTTTAATGTAAAAGGATAATCATGATGATATTTAAAAGATCTTGTATTACAATAATTAACTTTTTTTTTTTTAAAGTAACTTTGCCTATTGGAGTTTGTGTTTCATCTCATGGTTGAATAAAATATAAACATTAACTTTTTAAATAAAATATTTCATAGTTCAATAAAAATTTTTTTTTTTTTTAAATTGTTAAAAGAGATAGGAGATATGGTTTGTGATAACACTGTGTAGTATTAATCAGCTGAAGATCTTTTCAATGAAATGATATTTTGCTATTTTTTTAAGCCACATGTAACAGTAGAGATTTTGTAGGCCACATTTTGATACACATAGTGATACATTGGTGACACCCTTAGTTACACATTTTGACACACATAGTGAGATATTTGTGAAATATATAATGAAACATTTTTTATTTTTCTGTTTAAATTATTTTTAAACAAAAAAAAATTTAAACACAGATTAATGAGGTTCATTGTGTCACAGATTACTTTAACATATTTATGTTATGGTTAACATATTTATGTTATGTTTAACATATATATGTTATGTTTAACATATTTATGTTATGTTTAACATATTTAAAATATTTAGAAGAACTATTAGGTTGAGTATTATAATATAAAATATTTTCTTAAAAAGTTAAAAAACAAAGAATACTAAAATACCTCTCTGGATCTTAATAAAATACCTCACTGGATCTTACTAAACCATAATTTTCTTTTCTTTTCTTTTTTTTTGTCTTATTCATATTTCTTGTTTGTTAAAAGGAGCTGAGGATGATCTAAAGTTAGTAACTAAAATGGCTTATCAGCAGGTAATTTTATTAAAATAAATTTCCTTTTATTATCTATTTTTGCTTTTACTTAAAATTTATCAACTTAAAATATGGATAGTTTGTTAACTTTTATAAAGAACAATAACGCAGTTCAATTCTTTTTTCATTCTTTTTTATAAGCATTGCATTGATATCCCCAAATAAATGATTTTTCTTTAATTTAATAATTTTTCATTTTATGTATTTATTTTTTACTATTATTTTTTATGTATTTATTTTTTACTATTATTTTTTATTGTAGTTTATCGCTGTATAGTAGTTTTTTTTTTTTTCTTTTTTTGCAGATTGTAACATTTGGTATGAATGAGCGTATTGGACCTATATCATTTAGAATGAAAAACAGTGAGGAAATTTCACGCAAACCATATAGTGACGCTCTAGCACGTATAATAGATGAGGTATTATAATTAGATGAGGTATTATAATTAGGGCTGGTATTGCCAGTATTACCCCCATATATTAATAGTTTAATATTTAATTTTATAAACACTTATGCATCTTAAAGTGATGATTAATAGTTATGATAGTTAATAATTGTTTATCTTTTGTTTAATTATTTTAATTCTTATGGATGATTTTTTTTATTATGATTCTTATTTTAATACTGATCTAATTTAATTTGAATTTTAATAAATCAAAACAGTTCATGTCAACAGTTCATGAAATTTTGTACACTGATGATTATGTACATTATTTGGATAATGATCATGATTAATGATCATGATTAGAATTATAATAGTTGTGATTATTACAATCATTTATTTCTGATTATCTTTTTTTACTTTTATTATCATTTTCTGAATTTGATTTTTAAATTCAGAATATAACATTTAAAAAAATATGAGTTATAGAAAATTTTTTGCAAACAATCTGATAATCAATGGTGGTCTAATAATCAAGTGGTGCAATAATTTTATCAAATGTTTGAATTAAAAAATATTTTCTAGAATTCCATTAGCATTAGAATTGCTTTCTTTTAAACAATGTTTGTTTTTGCTGCCTAAAATTATTTTAAAAAGATATAATAGATTTATTTAAATACTAAACTGCAAAAACATCTTTTACATTTACCCAAAAATGTTTCACTTCTTGATGGAAAGATTTTTATATGCTCTCAATGGTGTGAAAGAAACTAGTTGTGCATTTTTGCAGAATAAGCTGACTATTTTATTTGTATTATTCATTCACAAATTGGACGAATATGTGTTGATCCACATATTCATCCAATTAAATGTTGATCCACATATTCATCCAATTAAATGTTGATCCACATATTCATCCAATTAAATGTTGATCCACATTCATCCAATTAAATGTTTATTCACATTCATCCAATTAAATGTTGATTCACTTATTAATTAATCCACTGAACTGATACCTAATCCACTGAACTGGATACCTAGGATCATAAGAATGTGAGGTAATTACAAAAATAGAATAAAAATAAAAAATGAATAAAAATAAGAAAATTTTAAATTAATGCAAATAAATATAGTACAAAAACGTGAAAAATTCACATTAACAAAAAACCATCAAAAAAAAATTTTTTGAAATTATTATAGAAAGCAAGAAGTTAAACTATTAAAAGAAAGAAATAAAGAATGTGAACTTTTTACAAGATAATTCAACAATGGTAAGTTAAATCAATGAAAACCAATTAAATCAGTGAAAACCATTTAAATTCAAAGTTGGAAAAGTGAGAGTGAATCTTCATAAGAAAATTAATTTATTATTACTAAAAAATATTTTTATAATTATGTTAACGTCAGTCACGTTAAAAAATGTTAACGGACGGAAATAACATAATATTTCCGTTCAATTTTTTTAACGAACTGATACTTTTTTCGTTATTTCCGTTATTTATTTATAATTTATTTTTTCTTTTTAAATTATTTTAAAAAAAGTTAAAATATATAAATTGGTCTAATTTAGTCTAATTGATTTTATCTTATGATTTCTTTAATTTAAAGTCCTTTGTTGCTCTTTTTAAGTTTGATTAAATGAAAGACAAAGAGCAAAAAAAAAATTTAAATCAATTCAATAATCAAACTTATTAATTGCCGGCGGCAGTGTACATAGTGAATTTTTCTAATACAATAATATAAAATTTAACAGACAAGAAACAAAAACAAAAAAAAAAATCAGATTCTTGCTTCTAAATCAACCATCTTAATATCAACACCGATCTCAAAATCATTTTTTCTAGTCCACGGTGTTCTTGAACTTCATAAACAAAAGATAGTTGAGCGAAGTATTTCGAAAGATAACTTCGTTCTTAATAATGTCATAACAATTGAGTATTTTTCGTTTTATTTTTTAGATAGTTTCTCGGCCAGTTTTCTAGCAAACTTATGACATTCTTTATCCATACTTCCATTTCTACCAAACACAAGTGGTGTCAAACTGCCATGTTCGATTTCACGAATTCGTTCGCTATATTCTCTTTTTTTTTCCCTTTTCGTGTTTTCTGAATATAGCAGCTATATCCAGATTTTTGGTGCTCATGGAATTGACATACGTAACTCTTACGTCAAAAAATGCTGTCTGTCCATTTCGCCAAAAACCATTTGCTTTAATATCCAAACGAGCTTGGTTACTTTTATTTGCTGTATGGAAATAAAAATTCTCATTATAAGGGGTATAAGTTGTGATTCGTATTGAACATTTATGTACACTCTTTTAAGCAATGTAGTGAACAAATTTCTTATTATCATGGCGACTTGAAATGAAGCCACCTTTCTTACACGACAAAGCATGAGTTACATTGAAAAGTTCTCTGCATTCACAATTAGGAGGGATATTTTCAAGTCGAAATTATATCTTAAGCAAAGTGCATCTCGAAATTTTTCTTCGTTTAAAACAAAACCTTGGTTTTCTAGCGGTAAGGCGTTTAACCAAGTGATTGCACATTATTTTCTTATTGAATTTTCAAAACCAAGGCCAACAGTTTCAAAGCCTAGGCTAAGGCCTCAATTTTTCGTCTTAAGGACAGGCCAAGGCCAAGAATTAACAACTCTGACATGACTCTGATCATTTTGTGAATTATATAAAAGCGTTTTTGATTATATAAAACTTTATATAATCAAAAAGTTCATACAAAAGAAAATTTTTTACATTTATTAAATGCGATATTATTTTAAAGCTATAAGCAATTATTTAAAACATTTTTGTAAATTTGATCTTGTAACTTGAGTTTAAATATATAATATTTAAGTTTAAATAAGTTTTATTATTTTAAAAAAAAAGTGTATTTCGCGGATAAACTTCAAACTTGCATTTTGCAACAAGCACGAAAAATTGTACAAACTTGCTAAGGGTTAACAAAAGTTCATAAAAAACTCAAAAAGAGTGATAACTTTTATTTTTTCACTATAGATAACTAAGTTTATGTGCTTCAATATTATTTTTGCTTTTAAAAATATACATATTATCTGTTTTGCAACTATTTCTATTAATTTTTATTTTCAATATTTTTTTTTGCTTTCAAAAATATACGTATCTGTTTCGCAATATCTTTTAATTAACGGCCGTTAACGGAAAACTACCGCTAATAACTTTTAACGGAACGGATTTTAACAAAAGTAATTTTTTTAACGATTTTTAACGGGCTGCCAAACGCCCATGCTATGATCATAGATTGATTTAATTATGTATTTAACTTTAGGAAGCTCGTTCACTTGTTTCAAAAGCATTAGATGTTACTAATAAAGTTATAACAGAAAATAAAATCAAACTTGACAAGGTTTACTTTTAATATTTTTTAAAAATATATTTATTATCAGGTTTATATATCTTTTATATTTTACTCTTTTCTTAGCTTTTTTTGTCATCTAAAATGTATGTCTATTAATTTTAGCTTGCCAGTGAATTGTTAGAAAAAGAAGTTATTAATCACGATACATTAATTCAAATTATTGGTCCCCCGCCATTTGGTGACAAACGTGAAACTTATTATAAAAAAGCTTTTCAATCTACATGAAAAATAACATGAAAATGAGTTTTTTTGAAATAAGATATATTTTGAGCACAACGCACCATGTTTTTTATTTCATTAACTAAAGAGTTTGATGTAAAGTATTCAATTTGTTCTTCATAACATATGTCCTACATCTTATATATTTATATATTGTAAAATTTGTATAGATAATTGATTTGTTTTGAAGATTTTTAGAAGCTATTCCTGATCTTTGTAGCCAATTGTGTCGCTTTGTTTAAAAGCTTTATTTTGGTTCCTGTTCCCACCTCTATCGCACTAACGTATTTGTTATTACAAATTATATTACTTAATAAAGTTTAATATTTTTTTACATAAAAAATATTAAATTTTATTAATAACAACAAGAGCATTTATTATGCTTGTTGTACAACATTTTACATTAACATGCATTTATGTTTAAAAACATGGAGACAGAAACAAACAAAATATTGTATGGTATACTAATATAAGTGGAGTGGGAAAGACCAAGCCAAATAATTATTTGTAAAAAAATAGTATTAAGGTGGTACGCCAGGGAAAAAGTGAAACTTTGAAATATAAACAGTATGTTTTTGATCAAAACTAGTTTTAATAAATTGTTATAATTATATTTTTATTTAAAGAGATAAATTTTAAAACTTATTTTTTTTATTTTTTTTTTAATTCATTTATTTATTTTGCCGTTGATAAATATTACAAAAAAGAAATTACAATAAAAGAAAATCCTGGCCGGAGCAAGAAGAAGACAGGTTGTCTTATCACCGAGCCCCGTCACACAAAAATTTACATGCACAATAAATGATAAAAAACAAAAAGACAGTATAAATACAAAAACAAATCAAAAACTTCAGCAATAAAATAATTTGTTGCAAACAATCTTCCAGCAGAATAATTTTAAAAATAAAAAAGTAAAAACGACAGAAAATCATAAAAGTTATAAAAACACAAAAAAAAATGCGTTGTTTAATTAAAAAAAAAGCAATCCATAATTAAAAATCCATAATGGCGGAAAAAAGAACGACAAAAGCTGTACTTCAAAACATAATATCTTGATATAGTGAAAAGATTATGGATTGAAAATCGATTCAGTTATAAAACAACTTATTTTACACCGTTCAACCCATGCGTTTTTAAATTTTAAGAAAATTACTCTTTTTATTACGAGTTTACTGAAAATATTGAAAATTTTTGACTTCCTCTATAGATTTGTAGCAATAACTTTTTGTTTAACCAAATCCAAAAAAAACGGAGCATCAATATTAAATTAACATTTCATGAAAATTTCAGCGAATAAACATAAACTTTACTTAAGTTATGTTTTGAATTTTAAAAAACCCTTATAAAACATTAATGCAAAAAAAATAAAAAAGAATAGACCATTTTGAAGTGTTAAACTGTTTAATAAGATTTGTGACTTTTATCAATGCAGTTTAGACCGGGTAAAACAAGAACAATTCTTTCTTGATGACTTATGCTTTCATCTCAAAATTGCTATTGAAAACCACACCAAATAAAGTTAAAAACTTGTTGCTATGAGGTTGCTGGGGAGTTTTATATGATAGTGGGGCTCAAGTAGGTCAAAGTTAAGCTATATATTTAAACGAGAATGTCAAAAAAAATTTTGAAAAGTCAACTTAAAGGATCAAACTTTTATAAAATTCAAAAAAAAAAAATCTGCTGGATCTTAAACCCAGAACAAAGCATTAACTTCAATATTAAATGTGCCCTGTGATAACACAGTTAGGTTTTTTTGGAGCACCTTTATAATTAAATAAAAATCTAGTAGACAGCATGCAAGTAAATCTGTTAAAACTGGAAGAGCAATCTTATTCAAGTCGATTTTGTCAGTTAGTCAAGAAGAAAAATTATCTGACATTTTACTTATTTTGCAATACTTTTGTAAATAATTTCGAAAGCGCTTTTGAGAGCTTGATTTCTAAAGTAGTTTCTAGATTTGGTCGCAAAAGATGGTTTTGCAAAATCTTGCTGCTCGCTGGCCTTTAGATCTAGGGGCTTAGTAAGTACCGAACTTAGTATATTTAGTATATTATATTTATATTTGTAATTTTTTGCCGTGTAAATATATACATAGGTAGCCGTGGCTCAATAATAAGAGTTTTAGCTTTGAGCTAAAAGGTCCAAGGTTCGTACTGTGTCTAAGCATTTGACCGTTTGTAAGCGACTTGGGTAAGGAAAGGGGTGTGAGCTTTCTTTTTAAATGCTCTTCCGCGGTACTCGGGGATAAGGCTGTAAGGATTCTTGGAGTCCTTAGACATATTCTTTAAATATAAAGAATAAGAAATTTTCTACACTTTATAGAACAAAGTAAATAAAAATGTCAAGAATTTAGAATGTGGTGATAAAATAAACATTGAAATATTTTACATTAATGAATAAAAAACCACAAATTTATTTAGCAAACTTCAAGCAACAAAAAACAAACAAAACAATGAAAAATAAAAATAGATAAGGTTTGTAAAAAAAGTTGCTATTAACTTTTCTTTATAAAACAGAATATATTCTGATAAACGTTTCATATAAGTATTCAAAACCTTAGTAGTCACCAGAGGCTAAAAAATACAAATAAAACTTTTTATTTCATTTTAAATCAAAGCAAAAATCCAATTATAATAAATTAGCGAGTTGCATAGCATACCAAAGATAAAAAAACTTGCGAGTAGCATACCAAAGATAAAAAAAACTTGCGAGTAGCATACCAAAGATAAAAAAAACTTGCGAGTAGCATACCAAAGATAAAAAAAACTTGCGTAATGCTGTCAAAACAGCATATAAAAACCACAAAATAACTTGAATGTAGAATACTAACACAAATTCTACATGTGTGTGTGTGTCGGGAGGAAGGGGGGAGGAAAGAAGAGTAAACTTTTTATTGTATTTTTGTTACCACAGTTCATTCACTGCCTTTTTTTTTGCAAAAAAATTTCAATTTTACATAAACATGAATATACTTAAGTTTGTAGTTTGCATAATGCCTAAAGGATAAATTAACACAAAATTATTAAATATCCTAATAACAAGTATCGAAATAAAAAAACCATTTATACCTCTAAACTTCAATATCTAAACTAAACCTCTAAACCTCTAAACCTCAATATCTAAACTAAACCTTTACCTTTTTTATCTGTTTATTTATTTATAACTACAAAGTAAAACTGAAATGATTGATTTCTAGTTATTTAAAGCCTGTAAAAATTTCACTTTATTGTAAAAAAACGTATAAAGGTGTATTATTATTATTTCACTACAGACATTGTATTTTTATTAAAAATTAACTATATATTGTAAAGGGCTTCATGACAAGATCCTCATGATCTTCTAGAAGTCCAGTCGTTACTAATGTAAAAATTGTAAAACATATTTAGTTATTGTAATATTAAAACGTTTAATAGTAAACTTTTTATTTATTAGTTATCAATTAGTAATTTCAAAATTAAAGAAAAATTAACAGTCTTAGAATAATAGTAATTAAAGCTTTTGGGCTTAAATTAAAATTACAACTATGTTTTTATTTTAACTAACACCTATGTGTACTTAAAATGCACATAGCATAAAAAACACAGCAGTTTAAAATACAATTTTAAACTGTTTTTCAATCAAAAGAGAGAAGGAAAAAAAAGATAAATCAACTAATTTCGAAATTCTGCGTCAATTTAATGATAGTAACAATAATAATATATTTGCTGTAACAACAACATTTACAATGTTGCAGAGCATGCTATGATTATATATCAGCCGTTAATGTTATAAATTGTTATAGTTAACTTTAAAAAAATTTAAGGATCTTGAAGAAACAACATAGTTATGGCAAAAAATTCCAGTTTTTAATTATTCTGTTGTTAAAGAAATTTTTTCTTGAGAACATTTAAATTTCTCACGTTCGATTCTTTTACTTTTATGTCCACGTATGTTTGATGAAGAACTGTCGCTTGTTAGAGAGGAAACCAATTTGGGATTTTTCAACCAATTCACAATTTTTCAACCATTTGTTATTTTATAGTGGTATATTAAATCCTCCCTAGTTCTTCAATTTTCTAAAGTTGTTAAATTTAATTTCCTAAGCTTTCTTTGTATGGTAGGTTTTTGTATGGTAGGTTTTTGAGATCTCGAATAAGTTTTGTGGCTCTCCTTTTCACATTTTCAAGTTCGAATATGTCGTTGTTTAGAGTTGGGTTCCAAACAGGTACTGTAAATTCGAGATGAGGTCTCATAAGTGTAATATACAATGATTTTACTATATTGGAATTTAAATAAGTAAAAGTCCTATTTATCAAACCCTTGCGCTTTAGAAACTGACCTTTGCGCTTTAGAAACTGCTGATTTTACTTTGGTTTGATTGGCCAATCAAAACCAAAATTTTGATTTGTTTTATTTGTTAAAAACGTTTTAACAAAAATCCGTACGACACCCCACCCCACTTAACACCTACTCGCGCCGGCCCTACTTTCAAAGATGTGCTTTTTATTGAGTTGAGAGCAGAGGCGGATTTACAATTTTGCCGCCCGTAGGCTATGAGAATAGGCTCTCACAGTCAGGGCATCTTTTAGCTAAGGTAAGAATTTGTATAATTAAATCAAGATCAATAAAAGCATACTTAGACTCATTTTTATTGCTTTGAGGTTGTGGAATAGGTTCATTATTGGCAATAATATTGCTGGTTGATGTTGTAAAGTTAGGTAAAATGCTTAAGTCCTTTCTGTCAATTAATGGCAATTCTTTGCTCGCAGAAGTATTTTCATTTTGGGGAAAATTGTTAAACTTGATTTTTTTGAAGTGCTTTTTCTTATTTTAAACATTATGGAGGCACCAATTTTTCTTCTTCTTAAAACTTCGGTTTTTATATTAGTTTGAGGAGAAATAATAAATTTATTTTAATCTATTCTGAATAATTTAAAAAACAATAGTAAACAATTATACTCTAGCTATATTCACCATCAATAACTGAAATAGATAACATGTGCTTATAAGTCACCTAACAAGCATAACAAGAAATTAAGTAAAAACAGCATATATAAGTGTTGGTACTATAGTGTCCA